TTCGAGCGAGAGACTATCAACTCGATTTGAAGAATATGCCCTGACTTGAATGTCGTCGAGTCCGGGGCAATGCGTATCACGATGATATCACGCCCACAGATAGCAAGTGGGTTAGACGGCGGCGACTTGAGCAAAATGCTTTGTGGATTTTCAACTCGGTCGCGCGTATCGCCTGCAGCTGCAAATGCAATTGCAGGCGCGGAGGAAGTGGAGGATGAAGACGTGGTTGAAGAAGGTCCCCCGAGTGCACTACTGCTACTACCAGAACTAGACTTGGCATTTGTTGTAGATGAGGACGAGCTGCTGGCAATGGAGCGAGCCGTGTCAAGTCCTGCTGCCGCAGCACCACCACCAGCTGCAACTGCAACTGCAAGACCACGAGAACTCGCAGACGAAGTAGAAGCCGCAGCATTTGCCTCCAGATTCACACTAGGCGGAACCGCACTTGGATTCGAACTCGAAGATGCTTGCTGTTGGTTTTTGATTTTGCGCTCCCTCGCTGCCTGCAGCGCAGAAGCATTTTTTTGCAGAGCCCGCGAATGTGGAGCCAGGCCTGCCATCGAAGGTGCACTGGGATCACCATCAGGCTTTGGCTTCATGTCTATCCCCTTTGCGCCTGCAAGTGTACCGCCAAGGGACGCCGCTACCTCCTCTGCGAGAGCTGCGTCCTGCGGTCGTCTCACTTGGCCAAAGTCATCTGGAGAAGACGAAGGTTGGGCGAGGGTGAACGAGATAAGAAGTACTGACTCTGACTGCTGTGCTATATGTAAATGTATCACGAACACGAAGACGAGCTACTTCCTTGAAATGAGACTGAGACTGAATATGCAGTAGCGAAGTAGAAATATTTAGAAAGCTTGTTAGCTTTTCTTTTCGATCGACATGTTGCAGTTGCTACTTGTAGTTAAACTTAAAGTTTTAGCTAGCTAAACGTAAGTACCTGAGAGCAGTTGATCCATCATCTGCCTGGAGCGAAGGATCAGGTAGTTTGACGCCCTCCGCTCTGCTCGCAGGGCCCACTTCACGCGTCGATTGTATTTCCTCTTCGCTTCTGCAGTCGCGTGGAGCTTCTCAATGCGAACGCGCTTGATCGATTTTGTGTTTTGCATGGTTCGGAAGGCATACTGATGACGAAAGCAGTCATTCTTTGCATTCCCCGCAGCGATTGCTTTTCTGATTCCGTCGTCTTTGGCAGCTCGTTCGGTCGGATGGTCTGCTTCTAGCTCTTCTTCTAGTGCTGTCGACTGATCGTGACCATCTTCAGCTACTTCCTCTCCCTCAGCTTGATGGCCTGCATTTTGCAACTCCGCACGAGCTTGCTCATCTATGTCGGGATCCGAGTCTGCTAGTAGATCATCTTCTAGACCATTATTGAAGAAGTCATCAAGTAAGCTTTCCTCGTTGGCGTCTTGGAGAGCACGCCCAGCACCCGCTGGGGCAAGCACATCCCAGATCTCATTCGCATGGTCTACAACCTGGACTGGATTCAGGACACCATCTGCAACGCGATCTTTATCCAGTCTTGCAGCAGTAAACAGCCTGTCCACGTTCAAACCCGCGTCAACCACTGCATCGGCCGCGTCCGGCGCCAATCGGATCGCCTGCTGCGAAGCCAGTTCTTTACGTCTCGGCTCGTTTTGTTGTCGTTTGCCTCGTTTAGTGGATTCCCTTTTCAGCATCCACATAGTCCCACTATCTTTTACGGCGCAACCCAGGACGGACATCACAGGCGTCACCTGCGAATGTCGTTGAACATTTACACTTTGTCCGAACAAGGGTAAGAAGCTTTGGAGGAGGAAGAGTTTCAATTTCGAAAGGAGATGAAATCATGGAGAGGAAGTAGACAGAGGAGGAACAAGAAAATGAGACTAAGTCAAGACCTTTCGAGCTGCAGTCACAGGCGAAACCGCAACGCAATATGTGAGGTACTCGATCTGCTCGCCGAGGGTCTGCAACTGAGAGAAGACGTCAAACTCTATCAGTTCGAGGAGCTCTTTCTTCATGGTCGCCCGCTCTTCGTCCGCCACCTGATTGTGGTGAGAACGAGGGAGAGAAGGCTTAAATCATGACGAAGACGACGAAGGGGATGAAGATTTAACTGGTGAAGAAGATGTATGAAGTTGAAGATGAAGCTGAAGAGGAAGACTTGTTAAAAAATCAACTTAGTTTTTGTGATGATCTGAAGCTAAGTCTAAATCTACGCATCTACGCTTCAAGCTAAACCCTATCTGGATCCAAATTATTCACCTCGCCGTCTTTGTTCTTCCTCCAGTTGCCAGCGCGAGGCTTCCACCGACTCGCGTCTTCTTCTGGTACTCCTTCTCCATACTTGTCACGGAGAACCCGGGAAAAAAGACTGCCTGCGGATGGTGAGACTTTTCGCAAGTGCGTCAAAGACCAAAATTGTAGATCCACTGGAAGAATTGACGTCTGATCCGCGGGCCATACTTTGTTCGCCTTCTTGTACTCGCGACGCACAATCGTATACAACGTCCGCACACTCGGGCACTCGGCCTTTCGCTTGTGTGCTCCCTTGCCACCTCCTTTACCTTGCGGCTGGTTCTCCACCTGTTCAGCTACCTCGAAACGGCTGTACGCTGCCTCCATAAAAGTATGAAGCGACTCCTTACTTTTGATCGATGTCATTTGCTTTCGCAGCCAGGCGTCGTCGGTGGATGAACAAGCTGAGTGTGGAAGACCATAAGCGGGTCCGGTGGGCACGACAGCAGAAGCAGAATTAGAACTGCCGCCGCCAAGCAGCGGCGCAGCCGCAGAAGAAGACGAAGACGGCATGACTTGCTTCTGATGGCTTAAGGCTTTCTATTGCTTTGCCGATATCGATATGACAAAGAAGGGAGGTCTCCTCAGGTTTTTCCCCTTATCTATCTAGCTCTAGACCTTTTTGCGTTTTCTTGTCATACTGCAGTGCGCGCCTGTAACTCCTTTTCTTCCCTTTTCGTTTTTCTACCTTTCGTTTGCGTTTAGATTAGCAGCAAAGCAGTACTCTCTCTCTCAGTCCCTCTTTTACCTCATGTTCTTACTCCTCGCGAGAGCCGCAATAGCTTCAAGGGCAACATCTTCAGCTTCACCTCCGCCAGCGCCTTGAGCTCGTCCCATCCTCTTCTCCATGCCATCGCAAGGCAAAAACGCATCAAACGCTGCTCGGATCGACGGGGAATACCTGCCCCTCGAAAGCGAGGGAGTATTTTGGAGGTCATTACTGAAAGAAGTGGTGGAGGTGGAGGCAGACTACAGCTGAAGATAAACGAAGCGGGAACTGCTGGAGGAGTAAACAAGTTGACTTCTACGCCTCTTTCTACACAGAGAAGGAAAAACCAAACGACAAGCGGAGCAAGTTCTTCGATTCTAAATGTATGGCACCGTGCAGAGCAGCAGAGATCTCGCGAACACGAAGAGCACTTCGCCATCATCAGCTCCTGCCGACGTTCGACGTGAGGTTGCCCTACCACTCTACAACTCGCAACTAGAAGTAGAGCTTCCGCTTGAAAGTACCACCCAACCGTACGAAAAGTTGTGGTTCTACACGTAACCGCAACCTTTGAGAGAAGAAGGAGGGAGAGAGAGGAAGAGAGAGAAGTGAGGAGGCTTGCGGTGCCCTTGTCGCCTGTAGATCTTGGTCCACCTTCCTCCTGATCCATTCTTCTCTTCGCCAGAGCCTGTCCGTTCCCTTCTGCACCTTTTCTGAAGCCTCTGTTAATTTTTCTGGAGGATCTCCAGAAAACTCCGGATCTATTCTTGTCGCACATTTCTACTTTGTCCAATCATAATCATCGCCATCATCTATTATAATTTATTAGAGTTGTAGACGTTGTAACCTATATATTATTTTCATGCGCGGGTTCTACACGTTGTAAACTAGACAGAGTGGTCGTTCTCGTACCTACTTGTCTATTAGTATTACAACAACACTCTAACTCTACTCAACGTTCTTGCTTATTACACTTTGGGAAGAGAAATGGCAACAGCAGCCTTACTTCTTGGATTCTAAATGTGTGCCATTCTTATTTACTTCTCATAATCTGCGAACCACATCCCTATCCTTCTTGAGGTTCTCTCCAGCGTACCGGAAAAAGTACCATAGTCCAGACCGTAAAATTTCGAGAAATATCGGCTTGGACTCAAGCGCGAGGTTCAATCCGGCCCGTGCATCGGGCAGGATATGTTAGAGAACTCATCTTGCAGGATATCGATATGTTGTGGGGGAGCACCTTCTAACTAGAAGTAAATAGTAAACCACTCTTGCATCGAAGATATGTTGAAAACTGTTTCTTCTACTTCTACTTCTTCATCATAGTTCCAAACTTTCTACTTCCACGATCGCACCGGTCTAGCGCTAATTTTTCACTGTGCCTGGCTGAAAGAGTTCCCCTTTTCTTCACGCCTATATATTTTCCCATTAAATTAATCAAGGGGGTGTCCCTTCAGCATCGTCCTCCACGTAAAATAGTTCATAGTTAAAAACTAGCCCAAAGTTAATTAAGAATCTATTTCTCACAACATAATCATGTCGTTGTGGAAGGTTTCGCTCGAACCTACCCCAAAAATATAGTCCAGACTCATGGAGAATCCATCTGTTAAACTTCGACAAGAAGTTTTTCCATTCCTGAGCTATTACTTCGTCAAGGATAATGATGCCGCAACTGCAATAAGCGTCCTCTACTGTTGAGAAGTGTTTTTACGTGGTGTAGTGTGTTGAAAAGAGGTCCGGACGTACTTTTCACAACAAGCATCCTTGTTTTTTACTGTAGTTTCTGTTGTTGAGATTTAGCGGATAATTCCTTTTTTTGTATGAATGAAAAGCTTCAAAATAGGTGTATAAGTAATGTTGATCACGATTTCAACATCGTGGTAAAAAGTAGAGGTTTGAAGATGAACGTTCTTGATTTTTAGTACAACATTTTACTTACATCATCGACCGAAAAAAAAAATAGAACTCTGATCATTTGTTGGACTACTTGTTTCTTATTGAATCTATAAAATCAATTACCGCGTTCTCCGTTCTTTCCACTAGAGGAGCCGCTACTTCTTGTGACGTCCACACTTTCTTGATTGAGAACGTCGCAGAGTCTTCTGTCACCTTCCACAAAACCAGTCGGGTAGAGAAAACATTCCTTGCCGATTGCAAACTGCAACTGCTCCATATGCTTGAGAGTAGGTAACAACGGCTCATCATGCAGTTCTTGAGAGTCCTGCTCCTGTTCTTCCTGTACTTCTTCGCCTGTCTCCATATCAGCAGAGCGCTTTCTTTTAGACGCTCGGGGTGCGTCGTGGTGTTCCATTGGCGGTTGTAGAAGCACATCGGTTGAAGAAGATGCAGCTTCATGACCTGATGTGTTCCCTCGCTCTACTATGGTTGTAGCAGCTTCTGTTTCTGGGCCTTCGATATCTTCAGCACGTTTTCGTTTAGTCCCTCTACTTTTTTTCAAGCAATTACCTGGGTCCACCTGCGTTAGCTTTTTATATACGTGAGCGGCTAAATCTGCAATCGTATCTGTGAAAGCTAAACAGCAACTAGTTTCTTCAGTCTCAGAAGAGTCGGAGGTTCGAATTTTGACAGTGACGCTTTTCCCTGATGGCAAGGAACATATCAGATTGACGGGTGTCAAGGAATGACCTTGTGCATTAGCGTGTTCCTCCGTAGAATGACCAGTCTGAGCCGTTGTAGTGGGATGTTCCGTGGTGGTGACTGCGCCAGTCATAGCTGAATCAGACGACGATGCCCCCGTAGGCTTATCTTCGACACCTTCCGTCACGCCAGTCATAGGTGTAGTAGAAGACGAACCCGCTTCGTCGCCTCCACCAGCGTTTGCCGGCTTTGGCTGTTCGGAACGTCGTGGTTCCAAAAAACCACCGCTCCCTTGTTTCATGAGCGCACCGGCAGCTTTCACCACATGAAGATGAGCGGCAAGTGTCAACAACATGACAGAATGAGAAGACTTTAAAAACCTCATCTTGAAAGTAGAGTTGTCAATATGACGAAGTGGTGATCAGTCCGTCAATCTCTTTCTTACAAAGTCAATTATACAAAGCTGCAAACATGCAAAGAGTTTCTGAGAGTAAACTACATCTACAACAGGTCGTGTAAAAACTACCTATTGCTATTTTTCGTTTTTCATACTACAAGAGTATCAAAAAACCTGATTAGATGGGACAAAGGAGATGTAAGGAATCTTCATAAATTGTTCAACAAGATTAAGACTTTTCTTTGCATGAGAAGGTGGGAGACGAGTCGTAAGCCGCGAGGTGTTCCACGATCGTGAGGTGTTAAGAACGTCCTCGTGAATCAGATTAGTTCTGCACTAAGAATAATGCTCCATCTTCACGAGTGAAGGGAGAGGGAGACAGACATAACTTCAGGATTTGGATTTGGATTTGGAAGTAGACTCCCAACAGTCACTGATGACGTGGAAGCACCATGATGACCTGCTCACTTTCATCAACAGGAGTGCGTGAAACTTTGTGTTCATCAACAGGAGTGTGCTCATCACACTGCGAGGACGAGTAGACATGAGGACATCACTGCTGAAAAAGACGCTGCCTTGCAGCTGTCGATGTCACGCCAAAAAAAATCAAAAAACGAATGTTGTTCGACATGCTTGTTCCTCAGCATATTGCTCGTGTTTGGTCGATGATGTAAGCAGATTGATACAACTCATCTTTGAAGTGCAAGGGGCTCTTTCTTTACTACATTGTCAATTAATGTAGGGCTCTTTCTTTACCACATCTTTAACACTAGTTTCTTCTCACCAATCTCTTTAACACTAGTTTCTTCTCACCAATCATGCACGAGATTTCAACTAGAAGTACGACACCATATGATTTCCCATACAACTTTGACTTCTTGAATTTCTAGGAAACAAATCATGAGAATAAAAAGTTGTATCCTGCTATAAGAATGGTAGTTCTTGTATATGAAGAGCGTCCCACTTCTCTACTACGTTGGTACGACTCTGTTCTGGTACGTTTTATGATGTGGTGAAAACAGTATTATTTTCTCTGAAAGTACAGCTGTGCAGCGTTCGATCTCTTCATAGGAAAAAAACACTCCTAATTACAATCTCAGTCTCAAGCTTATGGAAAGATATACTTACTTAGATCGACATCGACATTGCTCAACTCCGAGGGCTGAACTCCTCAAGAATATTATGGTCGCCAAATTTTTCGAATAATATGCCATGATTTTGGTTTCGTGTCGTGGTGCGCAATGTAATCGCAAGCTAAATAATAAACTAAGTACTCAAGTAGAACCTCAAAAAAATTCTATCATAGGATTATATCACAACGTCAATGCCTGTTGGTTTTGATTTCTAATACTAATAACCAGCTTTCTATGCTGCGATCGTTGTTGACTTCCAGTAAGTTCGAATGGATCTGGATGTCACTGCTCAAAATCTACCTGAGTACTGGTTGATTATGCTCTCCAGTGATGTTGAATTAGAGAGTCAAATTAATAAACTAAAACTATTACAACATACTAAGTACTTCTACTCAGAATACACATTAACAGGTCCTCTGATGGATATAATTCGTGATGTCTCAAACAAAAGAAAATAAACAGTGTAACTTCTAATCTTCTATCATCAACAGAAAAAAAGTTACGATGACTTTCATCTTGATCTTCTCAATACTTAATCTAAACCCCCTGGTGTTTATCCTGGAAGTTCATGCTCCAATCACCCAGTTCCATCATCTTCTTGTTCGCTTACAGGGGACTGCGTTGTCTATTATTGTGACCTGCTTCGTCTACTCTTGGCGAAATCATCCTTGCGCTTGACGATGAAGACGTTGTGCCGCCCCCTATTCCGCCACTACCACCTTCTCCCTCAGCAACTTCATTGTAATAGAGCTCTCGCCCACGACTATTTCGACCACCACGACTCATATGGCCTTGGACCCCCTTTGTAGTTGCACCATACATCTTTTTCACTTGTTGCACCACTCGTTTGATCAGTCGCAAAGGATGTCGTGTTAAACTAGAACTCTGCAATTGGTCATGCTAAAATCTAAAAGACAGCAAAAACAGCCTTCCCCGATGCGAAACGCCGTCATGTGACGCAGCCTGGTCAAAATAGTACCATGCATAGGAATATGGCAACTAGAAGGCTACAACACGTGGAAACCATTTGTTGTGAAGGTTGTCCTCGAACATTGACCTTCATATCGGAGGACAAGGGCTCTGCTCCATCGTTCGTAATGAAGGCATATCCAAGATGGTTCATGACATTCCGAACGAGGAAATCCAGAAACGTCTGTGGCCAGAGGGGTGCAAGGCGCGTGAAAGTTGCGTAAGCACCGGCTGTGAAGGAAGTTGTTGGAAATCCGAAGTTGTCGAGACGACTGCTCGCCATTTCTTGCTCAGAAGTTGTTGCTCCCAATGAAAAAATAAGCACTTGTTGCTGATGACATAACATAAATTTCTCCACCCCATCTGGATCTGTCACACCAGGAGCCAACGGCAAGTAGTCTTCTTTCACTTTCGCTTCGCAGGAGTAATATTCATGATTAGAGCTAGGAGAAATGCATCTTCAGCAGCATCTTTCGCCCCCTTTTTCCTTGAAAAACGGGACCCGGATGCTTGTGAAGATGGATTTCATGTAGCCTTAACATGAGCCACCACAGCGTTGAAAAAGTAGGCTATGCTCAAGCACGTCTCAACCAAAGCTCGCATCTCTGCCACGGCGCAGCCGTAATCTCTGGTAAAGGGATGTAGTTCGTAATCGTTGATAAGAAAAGCGAAGGTAAGCGGTTCACACCCTGATGGCCCTGGAAAGGTCTCGACTGAATGTTTGAAAACTTCTTCCGCATATGAGGGACCGATGTAGAAGGTACTAGGATTGTAATTTTGTTCAAAACCAGAAGGCGAGGTTTCTTTTTTTTGAATTTTTTCTTTTGTTGAAGCGGAGTCTGTAGTAGTAGAGGACGAGGCGTCGGGCTCGAGGATCATTGTGCGGGAATCACCAGCGTCTTCTACAACTTCAAGTCCACCTTCTACTTGTACACCTCCTCCTTCTTGTCCATCTCCATCTTCTTTCTGTAGTATATGTCGATACTTTCCTAGCAAGACGAACTCTTGTTCTTCACGTCTCAAACGTCGCAAGTCCGAAACTGTAGTGCCACTCTGAGTTGGAAAATCGCGCAAAACAGCCATCTCTAATTCGAGCATGGAATTGCCATGCTCTGCTAGCAATTGCGTCACTGCTGGGGAGAGGTTCCTGTTTTGGCTTTCGTGAAAGTTGGAGTTGCCATCTTGATGTTCATCGTCTTCTGGTCCTACTCCTGCTTCTGGTGGATTTCGATCTTGTTCCTCTTGAAGTGTTAGTACAGCGTCTGGATGTCGCTGTGTGGTATCTGGATCTGGTACTAGCGTAGTCCTAGGGTGTGTGGCTGCGTCTGGATCATTTGCACCTCCACTAGAATCTAGTGAATTCGACTGGCTTTCTAGATCTCGCGAGTGTTCTTCACGAGTCTTGTGACCGAGGCACAGACATGAAGACGAGCACCACACCGCAGCACCACATAAGAAGACCTGCTGCACCATCAAGATGAACATGGTGTTTCTCGTTGTTGTGTGTGCCTTGACTGTGCCGGTGTGAAGTGAGTCTCAAGTGTCCTCGTTTATTTTGTTCCTCTGGTTGTATGTTGTATCGTATCTTATTTTGCTTCACAATTACTCTACGCCTCCTCGGACGAGTAGCACGACTTCTCTCAACGTTCCTTCTCTAAAGTCACGCATGCAGATATATCACCAATTCCCTCCTCTGAACACCAGGCATGCAGCAGTCAGGTCGTTACATACTTGATTCAGTTTCAGATGCTCCGTACAACTAGTGGTCATTATTTGAGTAGTGTTAGATGAATTATGCTTCTCCTACAGCATATTGGTCCATGATCGCAACTTTTGCGCACTGCGTGCTCATAAAACGGTTAGGGTTATTAACCTCCTGTCACGATTATTAAACATGACCCCACCTTTAACATGACCTCACTAGATCATGATCTCACATCTCGATAATGTCCAGCACATCGTCAAGAATGTTGGAATTCACTAACAGGATACGACTGTATGTTGCCTGATACCGCTACAACACACGACTGTATGTTGTCTCATGTCTGTTGCGAAGGTCAGTGCATGATTACCTTGACTTCGTGATGACTTCATAGGATGCATTATATTATAATCAAATATGCCATATTAACACCAGGGCGAGGGTAAGATGATCATGATGAAGAGAACAATAATAATCAAACCCGACTAAGTACACTGCCTCGACAAGAACTCGACGTCGTCGTTATGCTTAGAAATAAAAAGTGCACAACTTATCTTACCTATTTCCCGTCGTTATGCTCGGAAATAAGAATGCAACGCATATATTTGTAATTCACTTATTCAGTATCAGTTCCAGAAGGCCTCCTCTTACCATCCTGATTACGTCCCTGTCATTCTGCAGTTCCTCAGCTGCGTGCATCCCCGCACGGCGATTTTGCTGGACGGCCGTCATGACGATTTCCTTGTCCTTTTGCAAGTCTGGATGCGCGTATTGGAGGTCCATGCCGTCCTTTGCAACAGCCTTCATGACAATGCCTCGGTCATTGCGTAACTGCTTACTTGCGTAATGAAGCACGCTGGTCCAGTTCTCTACAGCCTTCATGACGACGTCCCTATCTCCTCGCAGCTGTTCACTTGCCTGCGCGATTGCGCAGGCGTTTAGCTGTACCGCTTGCAGAAAAAACTCCTTATCGTTTTGTAGTTCGTCAGGCACTTGCGCGCCACAAATCCCATTTTTGAGGTGCATACTTGAAGGCGCAGACTAAATTGAGGTGAGTACGATTTTGCTAGATCTGCCAACATGACAGACTAGCCCACTAGCGGCATCCAATCGCTTTGAACCATGAATCGAAGATGAGTCGTGAGAATAAGAAAAGCCTGACGCCGAAGGGCGCGCGATTGGACCCGCTAACGGGCTAGTGTGTCATGAGGACAAGGGAGGAGAGGGTGGGAAAAGAAAAGAAGAGAGTAGAGTACTGAATACCTGAATAGGAATAGAGTGAGTACGATTACGAGTAGAATACGAACGCAGCATGTGATGGCCAATCACATACGCTGCGTGTAGGATGCGCAGCCACCGAGAATACGAATAGAAAGCAGAATACTGAAGGAGGAAGAGAAAGGCAGAGGCGCCGATAGTCTGCAAACATACATAGCACACACCCCAACTAGCTACGTCGAACACCTTCGCTATTCTTGCATATCAATAATTGGCATCCGTCTGAAGGCTTTTCAGTATGAACTCGCGGCTCCTTAGCAGCTCGGAATGAATTAGAAGACATAGTCACTTACGCTTATTACCCGTGTGGTCTAGGTGCCTTGCAGCCCTGTTGGTATTCCCTCTCGGCTTCTAGGGGGAATCCAATCAGGACGATGGGTCACACGGAACCGAGAGAATGAAGTACTTACTGCCCTTAAAATCTCCCTGTCTTTTTTCAGCTCTGGATCTGCCCAATAAAGTGCCCCGAAAGGGTAGTTTTCCACTGCTTTCATGACGATTCCTTTATCCTTTTGAAGCTCGTCACTTGCATGCCTGCGGTTTTTTTGTTGTTGTTGTCTACTGTCTACAAGTGCGCCACCACGTGACTTAAATCGGGGTCGTGGCCGGAACCTACAAACAAAGCGAAGAACAGGGACGCGGCCTGCCTTGTAGAAGAACTAGCGCGGGCTCGCGGAGCCACATATCTATGCGCACATTTACCGCGATGGATATAGGAGGCGAATGCTAGCAAAGCGTTGGCTAGCTAAACAACTAACTCGTGCGAAGTTGGTGGAGGATCGGTAGGGACACTACAGTTATATAACACCCAGAAGATCATACATAGATGAATCGATCTTGTTGCGGGGAGGCGTGGCCCCCAGCAGCTAAAGTGCATAATCGTGATTCAAGATACCTCCTACCGTCCATGAAGAGATAAATGAGTAAGATACTTGAGGGCTGCGCCGTCTTTTCCAACTGCTTTGAGAACGATTTCGCGGTCGTTCCGGCACTCTTTAGATGCAAAACGTAGCGAGTCAGCATGATTCTCCACGGCCTGCATGACGATCGTCCGGTCGTTCCTCAAGGCCTCAGGCGCAAAGTTGAAGTTTTTTTTTGTTGTCTACTGTCTACAAGTGCACCGCCGCGTGACTTGAATCGGGGAGATGGCCCGAAGCTACAAGCAAATTCAAAGAACAGGGACGTGGCCTGCCTTGTAGAAAAGCTAGCGCGGGCTCGCAGAGCCACCTATCTAAGCGCACATTAACCGTGATGGATATAGGAGGCGAATTCTAGCAAAGTGTTGGCTAGCTAAACAACCACTCATACAAAATTGAGGAAGGATCGGCAGGGACACTAGAGTTAAATAACACCCAGAAGATCGTATATGGATCTTGCTGCTGGGGGACGTGGCCCCAGCAACCAAAGTGCATCATCGTGATTGAAAATTCCTCCTGCCGTCCATGAAAAATAAATGAGTAAGATACTTGCAGAAGCAAAAGAACGATAATGTTTGGTGAGGCTAAGCTACGTCTAAATCCATAAGAAACAGGCTCGCTCCCGGATAACTCGAATCCCAGCGAAGAAGGCTCGCTCCCCGAGAACTCGACGAGTCCTAGCGAAGAAGGCTCGCTCCCGGAAAACTCAAATCCCAGCTAGTTTTATCGTAGCCCAATCCCTAACACTTGGTGCGCAACTCGGTTTTGATGGCTCCCGAAGGCTCGCCGGTTTTTATGCACCTCGGGTAAACGGGATACCACTTTAGCTCGATGACAGGCAGAGGCCGACATGATGTCTTAATGTGCTATTTTTTAACGCAAGTCTCTTACCAGGAACAAGATGAAGCTGAAGACAAGAAATTAAGACGGGGTGGACATGAATAAGAAAACTAGTTGAAGAAAACAATTAAAAGTAAGAATCTAGATGACGGTGAAGTAGCAGTTAAAATTGGATATAATACATAGAGACCGAGTCACATACTACTAGTAATACTCTCCTCATTTCTCGTCTTTGAATTGCAACATGTCCTTTCCTGTTAAAATTGTAGAAGCTCACGTGATAACCTTGAACATGTCCTGCTGGATTAAAGTGCTAGGTGTCCAGTTTAATATACTCCATGAACAAAATACAAGGACCCGCTTAAAAGATTAACTTACTTTATTTATTAAAGAATTGACTGATCTTAGACACTTCCTGAATTTCGAATATGATGGAAATCAGCTCTACTTGATTTGTCATCACCAATATCACTTGCGGCAAGAAACTAGCTCGAGAAAGAGGACTAATAAGTTTCCACAGAAGAGAATGAGGGCGATATTAAACTGGGAAGGGGCAAAAGGGGTAGGGGCGATCATCATCTAGGGCCAAACAGCATAGATCTTCTGATCGTATTACAATCTTCCTGTCTCTTTGTTCATCACCTGACTACTCCCTGGGTAGGTCGTAGCGTTTTGTTTGAAAGTGGATGTGGATTTTTCTGCTTCGTTTTTACTTCTTCATTATGTCCGCCCTATAAATTGCTTAGTATGTACAATTATTTTGCAACTCTTGCTGTTCTTTGTTTGTTCCGTAAGTAGTAGCACTGGCTTTCTCGTTCTAGCCTTTGTGCTGTGACTTATGCAGCTTCGGTTCTGAGTCCAAAAGGATAACGGGATGACTAAATATATGGATACCGACGTGAATTAGTTTTGCTGCGGAAGTCTCTGCTAATAATTAGTCCTGTCATGATCGTTGTGAAAAATGTTGGCCATTGAAAATTGTACGTTGTGGAGAGTAAGTTTATGTGCTAAGTTTTAATGCGTTGAAGTGCTTTTGGTTGTTACGTCATGAACTTGAGGAAATACTTAACTTATGAGAGTATGTGCAAACAGTACTAACTTGGAACTTAAAATTATTTATCACGTGATAGATTTAAGAAAGTGCCTTACGTATGAGGGTATTAATTTGCAACAGTACTGGCTACTACAAGTCATTTTTTGCTTCTTTTTGCTTTACGATCCTGTGTCTCTATAGTGGTACTCACTGCTGATTTGTTGTGATTTATAATGTTGAGTATCTTTGTATCCCCGGCTGTCTTCTATTGCTGTGCAACTGCTTTACAGGTTGACAGATCCGGATCCAAGCTTATACTGTGTGATATAATGCATGTTAGTACTTATTTTTAGAATTTCACTTGCGCTACTTGTTTTGGCCACTACTGTGCAGCATCCCACTCGGCAGACCGATGCTGAAACGTTTATATTCTCTCCTGCATAATTGACAACCGCTCAAATTGCGGCTAAATTTCGCTAGATCTTCTGACGCAAATACCTGTAGAGTGAGATGTGAATTTTTCGGGAGTTCTTCTGTTTCTATGCGAAAGAGATTGATGGCGACGCTTAAGAATTACATCTCTGATGGTGGGAAAGGGACCCTTATGCATTTGTGTTGTAGATTTGAGAACTCTAGCTGGTGTGTGAAGACGTCGCCACCTTTTTCAACTGCCTTCATGACTATCGCCCACTCGCTTTTTCTGTCCTCACTCGCGTGCTGCAGCGCCAGGGGATTTTGCTCGATTGCCTTCAGAACTATCGCTCGGTCGCCTCTTACGTCTTCATGTGCAAACGCCAGGGCGCTCCCTTTGTTTTCCACCGCTTTCATGACGATCTCCTTGTCTTTTTGTAGCTCAACAGATGCAAATCGAAGCTTTTTTTTTTTTGTTGTCTACTGTCTACAAGTGCACCGCCGCGTGACTTGAATCGGGGAGATGGCCCGAAGCTACAAGCAAATTCAAAGAGCAGGGACGTGGCCTGCCTTGTAGAAAAGCTAGCGCGGGCTCGCAGAGCCACCTATCTAAGCGCACATNACTTCTACGCCTCTTTCTACACAGAGAAGGAAAAACCAAACGACAAGCGGAGCAAGTTCTTCGATTCTAAATGTATGGCACCGTGCAGAGCAGCAGAGATCTCGCGAACACGAAGAGCACTTCGCCATCATCAGCTCCTGCCGACGTTCGACGTGAGGTTGCCCTACCACTCTACAACTCGCAACTAGAAGTAGAGCTTCCGCTTGAAAGTACCACCCAACCGTACGAAAAGTTGTGGTTCTACACGTAACCGCAACCTTTGAGAGAAGAAGGAGGGAGAGAGAGGAAGAGAGAGAAGTGAGGAGGCTTGCGGTGCCCTTGTCGCCTGTAGATCTTGGTCCACCTTCCTCCTGATCCATTCTTCTCTTCGCCAGAGCCTGTCCGTTCCCTTCTGCACCTTTTCTGAAGCCTCTGTTAATTTTTCTGGAGGATCTCCAGAAAACTCCGGATCTATTCTTGTCGCACATTTCTACTTTGTCCAATCATAATCATCGCCATCATCTATTATAATTTATTAGAGTTGTAGACGTTGTAACCTATATATTATTTTCATGCGCGGGTTCTACACGTTGTAAACTAGACAGAGTGGTCGTTCTCGTACCTACTTGTCTATTAGTATTACAACAACACTCTAACTCTACTCAACGTTCTTGCTTATTACACTTTGGGAAGAGAAATGGCAACAGCAGCCTTACTTCTTGGATTCTAAATGTGTGCCATTCTTATTTACTTCTCATAATCTGCGAACCACATCCCTATCCTTCTTGAGGTTCTCTCCAGCGTACCGGAAAAAGTACCATAGTCCAGACCGTAAAATTTCGAGAAATATCGGCTTGGACTCAAGCGCGAGGTTCAATCCGGCCCGTGCATCGGGCAGGATATGTTAGAGAACTCATCTTGCAGGATATCGATATGTTGTGGGGGAGCACCTTCTAACTAGAAGTAAATAGTAAACCACTCTTGCATCGAAGATATGTTGAAAACTGTTTCTTCTACTTCTACTTCTTCATCATAGTTCCAAACTTTCTACTTCCACGATCGCACCGGTCTAGCGCTAATTTTTCACTGTGCCTGGCTGAAAGAGTTCCCCTTTTCTTCACGCCTATATATTTTCCCATTAAATTAATCAAGGGGGTGTCCCTTCAGCATCGTCCTCCACGTAAAATAGTTCATAGTTAAAAACTAGCCCAAAGTTAATTAAGAATCTATTTCTCACAACATAATCATGTCGTTGTGGAAGGTTTCGCTCGAACCTACCCCAAAAATATAGTCCAGACTCATGGAGAATCCATCTGTTAAACTTCGACAAGAAGTTTTTCCATTCCTGAGCTATTACTTCGTCAAGGATAATGATGCCGCAACTGCAATAAGCGTCCTCTACTGTTGAGAAGTGTTTTTACGTGGTGTAGTGTGTTGAAAAGAGGTCCGGACGTACTTTTCACAACAAGCATCCTTGTTTTTTACTGTAGTTTCTGTTGTTGAGATTTAGCGGATAATTCCTTTTTTTGTATGAATGAAAAGCTTCAAAATAGGTGTATAAGTAATGTTGATCACGATTTCAACATCGTGGTAAAAAGTAGAGGTTTGAAGATGAACGTTCTTGATTTTTAGTACAACATTTTACTTACATCATCGACCGAAAAAAAAAATAGAACTCTGATCATTTGTTGGACTACTTGTTTCTTATTGAATCTATAAAATCAATTACCGCGTTCTCCGTTCTTTCCACTAGAGGAGCCGCTACTTCTTGTGACGTCCACACTTTCTTGATTGAGAACGTCGCAGAGTCTTCTGTCACCTTCCACAAAACCAGTCGGGTAGAGAAAACATTCCTTGCCGATTGCAAACTGCAACTGCTCCATATGCTTGAGAGTAGGTAACAACGGCTCATCATGCAGTTCTTGAGAGTCCTGCTCCTGTTCTTCCTGTACTTCTTCGCCTGTCTCCATATCAGCAGAGCGCTTTCTTTTAGACGCTCGGGGTGCGTCGTGGTGTTCCATTGGCGGTTGTAGAAGCACATCGGTTGAAGAAGATGCAGCTTCATGACCTGATGTGTTCCCTCGCTCTACTATGGTTGTAGCAGATTCTGTTTCTGGGCCTTCGATATCTTCAGCACGTTTTCGTTTAGTCCCTCTACTTTTTTTCAAGCAAATACCTGGGTCCACCTGCGTTAGCTTTTTATATACGTGAGCGGCTAAATCTGCAATCGTATCTGTGAAAGCTAAACAGCGACTAGTTTCTTCAGTCTCAGAAGAGTCGGAGGTTCGAATTTTAACGGTGACGCTTTTCCCTGATGGCAAGGAACATATCAGATTGACGGGTGTCACGGACTGACCTTGTGCATTAGCGTGATCCTCCGCAGAATGACCCGTCTTAGCCGTTGTAGTGGGATGTTCCGTGGTGGTGACTGCGCCAGTCATAGCTGAAGCAGACGACGATGCCCCCGAAGGCTTATCTTCGACACCTTCCGTCACGCCAGTCATAGGTGTAGTAGAAGACGAACCCGCTTCGTCGCCTCCACCAGCGTTTGCCGGCTTTGGCTGTTCAGAACGTCGTGGTTCCAAAAAACCACCGCTCCCTTGTTTCATGAGCGCACCGGCAGCTTTCACCACATGAAGATGAGCGGCAAGTGTCAACAACATGACGGAATGAGAAGACTTTAAAAACCTCATCTTGAAAGTAGAGTTGTCAATATTACGAAGTGGTGATCAGTCCGTCAATCTCTTTCTTACAAAGTCAATTATACAAAGCTGCAAACATGCAAAGAGTTTCTGAGAGTAAACTACATCTACAACAGGTCGTGTAAAAACTACCTATAGTATTGCTATTTTTCGTTTTTCATACTACAAGAGTATCAAAAAACCTGATTAGATGGGACAAAGGAGATGTAAGGAATCTTCATAAATTTTTCAACAAGATTAAGACTTTTCTTTGCATGAGAAGGTGGGAGACGAGCCGTATAGGCCGTGAGGTGTTCCACGATTTTTGGTTAAGAACGTCGTGAATCAGATTAGTTCTGCACTCAGAATAATGCTCCATCTTCACGAGTGAAGAGGTAAAGTGAACGGCAGCCTTGCTCTTGTTCCTTCCAAAGAGAAATGGGTGAGAAGGTGAAAAATGATTGAGCAGGGATCACAGAGAGACAGACACACATAACTTCAGGAAGTAAGTAGACTCCCAACAGTCATTAATGACGTGAAAGCACCATGATGACTTGCTCATGTTCATCAACAGGAGTGTGTGAAACTTTGTGTTCATCAACAAGAGTGTGTTCGGAGGAAGGAAATAAGGACATCACTGCTGAAAAGACGCTGCCTTGCAGCTGTCGATGTCACGCCAAAAAAAATCAAAAAACGAATGTTGTTCGACATGCTTGTTCCTCAGCATATTGCTCGTGTTTGGTCGATGATGTGAGCAGATTGATACAACTCATCTTTGAAGTGCAAGGGGCTCTTTCTTTACTACATTGTCAATTATAGGGCTCTGTCTTTACTACATCTTTAACACTAGTTTCTTCTCACCAATCATGCACGAGATTTCAACTAGAAGTACGACACCAGCACCATATTATGATTTCTCATACAACTTTGCCTTCGTGAATTTCTAGGAAACAAAGAAATCATGAGAATAAAAAGTTGTATCCTATAAGAAAGGTTCTTGTATATGAAGAGCGTCCAACTTCTCTACTACGTTGGTACGACTTTGTTCTGGTACGTTTTATGATGTGGTGAAAAAGGTATTATTTTCTCTGAAAGTACAGCTGTGCAGCGTTCGATCTCTTCATAGGAAAAAAACACTTCTAATTACAATCTCAGCCTCAAGCTTATGGAAAGATATACTTACTTAGATCGACATCGACATTGCTCAACTCCGAGGGCTGAACTCCTCAAGAATATTATGGTCGCAAAATCTTTCGAATATGCCATGATTTTGGTTTCGTGTCGGTGTCGTGGTGGTCAATGTAATCGCGAGCTAAATAAACTAAGTAAGTACTCAAACTCAAATAAATTCTATCATAGGATTATATCACAACGTCAACGCCTGTTGGTTTTGATTTCTAATCACCAGCTTTCTATGCTGCGATTGCCTCAGACAGTAAACTAAGATAGATTTTCAGTAGTAACATCCACTCGAGCTGCTTACTAGAAGTCAGCAACAACCTCCGACGGAGGCAACAAACCTGAGGAGAACCTGCGGAGGCGCCCACCATGCCTCGCGGTAGGGAAAAACGGGGACGACCACCCGAATCGTTCTCCCAGAGGTAAAGCGCCGCACCTCGACCAACAACCTTTGACGAGAGTCCTGCCCCTGTATCCACCAGAGAGAGAAAACACAAGACGCAGTCTGCTCCGGAGAGGGCGCTGCCGTTAACTTCTAGTAAGTAGTTCGAGTCGATGTTACTCAAACTCAAAAATCTTAAGTACTTTACAACTGTCTGATGCTACTCTCTTCTAGTGATTTTGATTAAGTTACTACGTAAAATAAAAGGTAACCTATTAAATATACATTCATGCATTTACCTCGCACGAGGCACTGTCTCAAGACTATTTGAGTACTGATTTTTTTGATTTTTGCTGGACTAGGTAGCATAGTGTGGACGAGCAAGGCACACGACGCAGATGTAAATTTTAACCTGGTGCCATACAATGGCATGACATCCGATGATCGTTGAAGATGAAGTACATTTTTGTTGCACACTCATATATATAATCACAACTCTGCAGCTAGTCGTTTTCATCTGAACGATACTTCATCTAGGTAGTGGTAGAACAATAAGTATAACATCGTAAATCACTGAGAATCTAAATCGATATCAAGCCTTAAAAAACCCTCCAACGCCTACGTGCTGAGACCACGAGCGTCGACTTCGCAGAAAGCCGTAGATTTATCCCGCGAACTGCCATGGTAGCCCCAGCACTTCTTGGGAGTCATGAAAGATGCGGGGGTAAGGAAGAGGTAGGTAGAGGAATCTGAAACCAGGTTCTGTGTCTTCAATCTCTATTGTCACGACTAATATGCTCAGAAGCAGGCATTAACACTTTATTTGAGAACTATGCTTTGAAGCAGGTATTAACACTTTTCCATAGATACTTTATTTGAGACCATAAATTTCTTTTTATCTGCCTGCTTGTTCATCTTCCCACTGGTAAGAGCGCCGTTGTCGTCGTGCTCGTGTCCTGCGTGGTTCCTTAGTAATTTGTCCTCTTTGTGCTTGTGATGGCCACTGCGAAAGCAATTGCTACGAAGACGCTTCACTCATATTAGCGATAGAAGCTAAGTAGGAAAGCAAGAATTGACTCCAATTCATTGAAATTGTTAAAAGGAACAAGTTCAAGTTTATTTAAGGTATTAAGAAGACGCTTTAGTGAAATCAGAAGAAGGTGGTTGATACTAAAAAAAAAAAACCTGATGTAGTTGGATACTACTAAAGTAGATTTAATCATATTGTTACAATCGCTTGTTCAACATCTAAGTAGTATTTTATAGTCTCGAAAACTCGTTCCATAATTGATCTTTGCAGTTAGCTCCCCCCTCTTCTCCTGTCAACATTCCGTTTCTGGCGTCCTGTTCAACACCATCAATCAGCACAGGAAGAACGCCATTTCGGAAAGAGGCTGAGGGGCGGTCGTGAGCAGACACCCAGCTGGCATGTGTGCCCCAAGGCATCGAACGTCTTTTTTTCCGACCTCCTACAGGTGGTGAAGTACACGGATCCTTAGATTTCGAAAAATTCGAAAAAAATATTGTCCTCCTTGAGTTGTATCTTAAAGCGAAGACGAGGACTCATGACTACCTTCCACGAAGCAGAGTCTTAACATTGGATCCACCCTGAATATCGGTCTCGACGAGAATGCTGTCTCCGCTCTGTTCACGTCTATCCTTCCCTACGATACGTCTATCCCCTACAATGTCCTCCTCCGTCAACCTGCTCCCAGAGGTCCCAGGTATGTTGCAAATACTGCACGAAGTCCATGTTTTCCGCAGTAAAGAGTTCACTCCCGTTCGCAGACCGTCTATCAATTTAGAAGAAGACGATTTAGACTGAACTGGAGCAAATTGTAGTTGATTAAAAGGGCTCTTCTATGATGGAATTTTTGTGAAGATGGCATCTTTTTTTTCAGCAGTATAAATAACTGTTCTGTTGTATCTTTGCTACATTGATTACCATAAACGTCAACTGCTCTCGAAGTGCCCCTAACGTTAATCGTGGATGCTTCTGCGACCTCGCCTCCCGAATATACACTAGAGCTTTGTGCGCGAACATGCCGTGAAAGCCGCACAGGTAAGCGAAATACAGACCCGACGCTAGGCTGATTTCAGTACGTTAAAGCCTACTCATTCATTCGTTCTCACAAAAGATCTGTGTAGACTCCACGACCAGGTGCGCCTTGTTTTTCCAAAGTTTTATCAACGCCAAAAAACTTGGGATTCATCATCTCGGGTTTTTTTTCTCTCCTACTCCTTACGGAACAACATCAACAGCTTTGGGAAATATGGGCCTTAAGTACGATGCGTGAAGCGGAAATAGATGCGGAGACAATGGAGGAGGATGGTGGCCATGCACGTCGTTAAGCTCACCATAGTGTAGATGTCCAACATCGTAGTTAGAGCTGTAGAGTACTAGTACTATCATCTAACTCATGGTATAGATGTCCAACATCGTAGTTAGAGCTGTAGACGTGGACCTGGAGTGGCGCTAAGATCTAAAAACTAACACTCCTGTGAAGTATCTATCAGTATGTGCTACCATCTTCTATCTAACACTCCTGTGAAGAAGTATTTTTCTGATCAACATTCTCTTAGTTATAGTTTTCGTCCCTGTGAATATCATACCACTTGCACTTTAGAAACCATCAATCCACATACATATTAGAACAACTAGAAGAGATGGATTACAGTGGTACTAGTCTTAACGTCATGTAGGCCACTCGCGGAAGAAAATGGCCACCCATGTAGGACTTGAAACTGACGATCGTCAGCAAAGCGAGGAGAGAGATCGAAATCGAATCGTAGGGGTTACGACTACTAACGGGGATTAGATGGCTCGCACAATTTTTCCATTATGAATCGGGAAGAAGAAGGAAGCTGCTCCTCACTGCGCGGTCTTGTTCTTGTAGTTGTATGATTGTGTGGAACAAACCTGTTGTATTTCGTAACACAACGTTCATCCTATCATCATAACACAACAAACATTCATCTATCTTATCGTCATACATAACACAGCAAACATTCATCTATCTTATCGTCATAACACAACGTGAACGTTCATCTTATCATCATAACACAACGTTCATTTTATCGTAGTTCTCCTCTCGCTCTTCTTCTTCGTTCCACACAAAACCGGAAAATGCCAATGTCGTCACCAGAAAAATGATCAAAAAGAAATTCCACAGATACCTTGAGATTCATTTGAGATGAAGATGTTGAATGGTAAAAACTGATGACATAATATAATATTTTATAACGAGATGAAAACATAAAAAAATAGTACCAGGCATAAAGCCGGCGCACTTTGATGTTCACTAAAATGCGGTCGCCGTAGATACTGTGCCTTTCTCTTTCCAGAAGGAATTAGAGTCTCAAGTCGAGAGAAGTGCAGCTCTTCGTTAAGCTCAATCAAGACGTAAAAGTCGAGGAGGAAACTAGAAGGAGAGAAGTGCAGCTCTTCGTTAAGCTCCTGCCTTAATAAAAAGAACCGGGAATAAGCGCCCAATCAGGATCCTTCCAACTTGTTTCGAGGGCTGCCACAGCAGCTGGCATTAATTCTCCTAGCTTTATCTCCCACTGGAGGCCGGCCTGTTTTGCTTTTGTTCTTGTGAGAGATTGATAGACAAGACTACAATGCATAGTGCATGATTTCAATATGACTACAATTATACATAGTGCAGCATGCTTCCAGTTTCATATCATGTCGTAGTGGCCCGACAATCTGTGATCGTGCGTCAAGCTCCTTCTGCTATTTTCGAGCAACATCAACAACTTCCAATGTACAACACTGAAGAATAATACCTGTGGTAGTATGAACAAAACGACGCGCAGTTCTTGGTGGTCGAAAGGGAAGGCGGCGAGGTTATACTGTATCCGGCACGTGCTCGTAAGCATCTGTGTTCGAAAGGTATTAGAAAGAAGCATGCTGAAGATTGTAGGGGGGGTCTGTTGTAGTTACCATCGGCTGGTACCTACAGCACAAACTGGTAGTGCCTCAGTACAAGATTTCGTAGAGCTACACCTAGTTACACTTTTCTGCTGCGATCAAAAATATACGACCAACAGCTACAACACGAACTTGTAAGTTGTTCAGCCATAACAACCGTTGCCGTTTTTCTTCTCTTTTCATCTTCTAGCATTTCTGCGCTCCACGTAGTCCAGAAAACTTGCAAATTGATACTGTTCTTATGGATGAATTTCGGCAAGGGGAAGGGACAACTTGTGCTTTCACTCTCCGCAAAAGTCTCTATCTGCGTCGTTCTCGAGGTTGAGAGTTGTGGCATAGATGGAGTTGATGATGAAGAAGATGAGGCTCCTACTTTGTGGTTTGGCTTTGGTGCTCTTGTAGCATTTTTAGACTTCCAACCCTTAATAGGAGTTCTGGTTTTGCCGGAAATATGAGTAGTGTGATCTAGCTCTACATCGTGCTCAGATGAATCTGAAGCGGGTATTCCACTAGAAACATTCGATGAACAATCATGAGGACTGTAGTCAAGTTGATGTTCACCAGCATGTCCATCCTTTTGAGGTCCTCCGGTTCGTGAAGAAGCTGCTGTACTGTGATGATGAGGATGTGCGGATGAGGATGTCACGGCGGTTTGCGCGGCTTCCCCGTCAGGCTCGTCTACTTCATTCACGGCGTTGACATCTTTATGATTTTTATCCCCTCCTCTACAACTAGTACTAGACTGTTGTTCTTGATCTCGATCTATTCTCGTCCCTTTAAGCTCCTGCTTCTCGTCTATTTTCTTCTCTTGTCGATCGTTTTCGTCCTGGTGTTCTAGTCCGTCTTGGAATAAACCCTTAGCCTTCGCATCCCAGTCTGACATGGGTACATCCGCTTCCAAGTCCATCCGGTAAGTGCACACAAACGTCTCAGCGCACGGATCGATCCCATAATAGAGAAAGGGCGTGATCTCTATGAACTAGGATGGAAAAAAGGCTTTTGGAAGGGGGTCAGTGAAGGGGGTCAGTTAGGAGGAAGCCGGTGAATCATGATGGAAGTGCGCTAATTGCAATTTCTCTAGAAGCAAGTACTGATAATCATTCAATCCCCACGACTTCCATACTTGTAACTCTGCATTTCCGTGGTCCTTGGGCGTTTGCTGCGCCGATGTGGTTGCCCATCACGTGTCTCCTGATTATCTTCGAAGATTGCTGATTGTTCATGTTCTTAGATCTCAGTTCTACTATCCATCTTTTCCCTCATCTGCTTCGTCCGCAATTTTACAGTTGGGACTGGGAAGGATAACTCAGGCTAAATAAAGATGGATTTTTAAGTGGGGCCAGCATAATGTTCTGTCTGTTACGAAGCGTTCTCGATTCGCCAAAATCCGTATCCGATCCAGACCCTGCCCTAGAAGAGTATAAATCATCATCGTCTTCAAAGTCTTCTTCAAAGTCTTGTTCATCATCATCTTCATCCGAGTCATTCGAAGCGGGACCCGTCGACTGCAACAACATGTTGTTTGCGGTGAAGAGTGAAGCTGCCTCGCACAAAAAGCTCTGCCGTGTGTTCTTACGTTCGACAAATTTCTTCCCTCCAATGGCGCCTGAAATCGTCTCAGAGACGACCGGACCCACTTCCGCTAGAGAAGCTCTCGAAGTCTGCGAGGCACCAACAGCGGCAGAGGACAAAGCTCGAGATTAGAAGATTTGGCGGGTATTCATCTCGGGTAAAAAAATAACCAAAATATAAGTAAGTAAGTAAAGTAAGTAAATAAAGTAAGTAAAGTAGCTGTAGTTGCTCGAAAATAAGATCCACTCTAAATCGGAAATTAGAAGGTCACCACAAACTCAAGGTCACTTCATCTCGACCCCTTTGCTTTACCTTGTTGGAGTATTTCATGGAGGGCCTCAAAGGGTTGCGTCGAGGTGTTTCTGAAAAACAAATTGAAGACGGATAAATAATAAGCTGGTCATAACTAGAAAGCGCCCGCGTCTTGTCCCATCTGATATCGCTCATGCTTTTGCTCGTTGTGTTTACCCTTTTTAGAAGGAGTTGTGGGAAGAGCGTCAACATTGTTGTTATCATGGTGAAGATGAACGTTGTTTCATGATTGAATCTCGAGATTAGTGTCTTAGACTGGCAGGAGTTCATTCGAAAATTGATAATATTCATTCGCACGATATTAAGCACATTCTGATTCTCTTACTTAGTATGAATATATAACAAGAACCTCTAACCTCCAGTTTGCCATATCAACATGCTCTTTTTCTTTTCCTTGTCCTTGAAACTAGTGCTTGTGGGAGAGTCTGCGCGTGCACCTATGAATGACAATCTGGGTTCTTGCTTCGGTGAAGTGGAGGTGGTACTTGTTTTACTTTTAGCAAATGGTACTGGAGGAGTACTTGTTGTAGCTTCTACTGTACTCAACGATGCCGACACTTGTGGCGCTGCTTGTGCTACTTCTTGCTGCTGCTGCTGCTTCTGCTGTTCAACATTAAAAACTGCTACTGGACTCGTCAACCTCAACATTTGTTCTTCATCTTCTACACCTGCCAGCCCAAACTGTTGCTGTGCTGGTCCAACTTCTCCCAGTCGCATAAGCGTGGCAGCTCCTGAAGCTCTAGCTTTATTTGCCAACAGGTCATTGTTATGGCAGGAAAAGTGTCCCTACAACTAGTATTAAAGCTCAGCATTCAATGGTCACTGACCCTGAACGGAAGGGACGGACCCCCTTCAAGGCTCTCCCCTTTCCCTTCGTTTTCCCCCCATCTTTCCTCCAGGGGTCTCCTCTTCGATCTCAGTGACTAACCTCAATGACCAATGAAAGTTGAGCCTTAACATTAGGATTAACTTGCAACCGTAAAGTTTCCCACTTGAAGTCACCTGCTCCTAGCTAATTATTTTCTGAGCAAGCATGAATACAGCTACACCTACTCTGTTCATCAACTCAAGCATTGTCAACATAACAACTGTTGACTGAGATACAAATCTCTGAAACGCCTGCGGTGACGGGAGCACTCCGGTTACTAGCACAAAGAGGCGTTGGCGGTAGCAAGATGGTTGCTTCGTTGCCGGCAATTAGAAGCTAAGTAGGAGATTACTCTAGTAAGTGCAAACAGAGAAGGTTGGAACAAGATGAACTTTGCTACCTGTACCTTTCGCTTTCATCATCCATTGTATTAACACTACGACATGATCATCCATTGTATAAATATTGTTTCATGGGATAAGCCTAAGGTTGAGAGTATAAATATTAACACTAGCACGACTACGCACCAAACATCAAAAAAACTTAAAGGTCTCAACACTCGGCCGGGTCGGTCGATGCGTGGTCCATAGTCGTCAGGCTGAGGCAGGGGAGGACTCAGTGGAGGAGGACTGGATAATGGAGTTGTAACGGTCAGCATCTTATTTGAAGCTGGACAAGCGTTCTCCTGTAGGTGTCCGTTTTCGGACGTACGCTCCTGGTGGAGCAAAAGAGGCGGACTCATCATGTTCTTTCTTGTTATCGGGTCTGTTCTGGTAGTGCGTAACCAAAAGGGTGAGCACGCTTACTTTTGACTTCTCCTCTTTTTTCTTCAGCAAGCACTTTGACGGTGTTCAAGGATGCTCCTTCAAAACTCCTCGCCCTGTTAAGACTGCTATTGTTCGCTCCATCATACTAAATCTCACTCGCGTGGTTACCCATCACTCACAGTCGTGCTATGGCTATCTTCATCTCTCTTCATTTGATACTTTGAAATTATAATCATCACAGCCTGACTACAGATCGCAAAGAACCCGATGCCAAAACCACATATCCGCCTATCACCAGCAGGTGCTGCAAAGCTTAGAGCTATTTCCAAACTGCCTTGAGTTAAGAACTGAATTCTCCTCAGTTATTCCATAGGTTCTACATTCACAAAGCAATTTATTCCGTATTTCACTGAGCCAGGCAAATTTAAGGCCTCTCCCCTATGGATCATATCCAAATCTGCGTTCCCCTGAGCGTCCACATTCGACCAAACAAGAGCGCAGCCCAGGATTAGATGATGAGTAGTACTAGTCGTAGTAGTAGAAAGAACGAAGTAGTTGGGGATGATCATGGGGGATGTTGAAGATGGGGTGGACGAGGATTCGAAGATAGGCGTGGTTAAAGATAATCTTCAAGCCATAACTTCAACGGTGAAATGCGCAAACCCAAAGCCGGAAAGACTGTGTGTCCGCCGGAGTCTACTTTGTCTTTAGTTTTACCTTCGTCGTCTGCATTTTCGCCAGTTGTTCCTTCATCATGTCGCTCCTCTTCACCTTGTTGTTCATCTATTTTTCGCTTTCCATCGCAATCAGCCTCCTGCCCAGCACCTCCTCGTCCTCCTCCGACATTATTCAGATACACGAAGACGGTTTTGCTACGGAAGCCACCGTCATGGTGATCTCGGAAAAACTCTCCTGTTCTGTACCGAAGCATATTCAGGTCCTCGACATAGCGGATATCGCTTTCCGCAACTGCAGCTACTCGCCTCATGATTCGCCTCACTATCGAATCATGATGCCTAGGCAGGCAACAACTGCTGCTTGTCCGGTTTTCGGATTCGTCGTTCTCGTTGAAATCATCATTATAATGTTTTGCTTTGCTGGTACTGCTTTTCTGCCATCCCAGAATATCGTCCGCAACGTGCAGAAGATGCTTGATTTCGTCATCCGATACGAAATTCGGCACGCACTGGATCTTAGGACCGAGAGGGACTACGCGGAGGAGTTTTTCCACGACGGGAATTAGATGAAGCGCCACTACATAGTTTTCTATGGTTAGACTTCGAATCACGCAGATCGCTCATGTAGACGTCATATCGATCGTCTCTGGCACGTCACCAGAGATCATGCGCTTTTGTTGGAAAAGCTATGCGCTCTAAATAATTGCAGCCCTAAAGTGAATCCTTGCTTCTCTGCTTCTTCTCTTTTCAGAGGTGTTGACAGTTTTGGCGGAAACTCTTTATTTGCTGTGGACGCAGTCACGAAGTCCTCTTCTAACTCAACCTGGTCGCTCCCGTCTGCCAAATTGCTTGTCACGGCAACCATCCTCTTCTATCACTCAAATCTCCAGCCGCGTCAGTTTCGACCCAACTACATGTTGTAACTTTTACTTATGTTGATGGTGATGTCCAGTGTGCTGTGGCTGCACTCAAGAATCAAGAACTGCGTCGTTGTGCACTTATGTTTCCCTCATACCGAAGATGCAAAGCAGGTCCAAAACATTTGAGTGAAAACTCATATTGATACTATGTTGTATCATACTAGTTGCGAGTAAGCATCTCGAATTTTTGAGGAAGAGGATGATTACTTGGTAAACCATCATAAGGATATTTTTAAGCCATTTTTCAATAGTCGTGAGGAAAGCCTTTTTTCACGGGTTGGCTTGGGCCATAGTACAGTAGTAAGTGTCGTTGGTCTCTACTAGATGAACGGGAAGCAGGAGTGGTCCGACAACTCACATTTTTTTTAAAGTCGAGACTTCAACATCTGCTCAGGCTCACCAGCACCACAAACACGATATTTAAAAGCTTCTCGCCTTCGCACAGAAAAGCGACCGTTCCTCAGACTGTCCTGTTTAGTAGACGTATTTCATGCCGTTGTCCATATTTCATGACAAATAGTGCTCGATCGATCAGACACTACAGACTTTTGTTCTGGCCACAGAGATGAGACACCACACGTGGTATTCGTCTCGCATTTCGGAAGAACAGAACACGTGAGTGTGATGTCGTCGTGGGACGATCAAGTAGCTGTTGCTCGCAAAAGGATTCTGGTCACACAGGCTCAATTGGAGTCCTCCCATGTAGTTACCCGACTCGTATTGAATATGGTCCTCGTGCGCGGAATGCCCCATCTTGCTTTTGCGAGTGAAATAGAAATGCTTGTTCTTCTTGAGCCTACTTCATCTTCATCATGATGTAGTGCTCTACAAAAATAGAAATACTCAGTTGTAGATTGCAAAGCTGCAACGCCGTCGTGATGTTGACGATGTAGAGCCTTATGCGCAAGGTCACAACTTCTTCATCAACATCATCATCACTGGATCAAAACCTCTTCTTGAGCCCAGAACTAGATCAAAACCTCTTCTTGACGCCAGCGATGCCCACTGTTTTCTTTTGACTCGGTGTGAAATGCAGTTTAGGAGCCTCCTTCGGTTTGCCTCCCTTTTCTTTGATGTGGCGGAAATTAGAAGGTCACCACAAACTCAAGGTAAAGAGAAGTAGAAAGAACTTCTAGAAAGAGCAATGGTCGTATTTAGAGTTCATCTTTTCGAGTACTTATAATTGGTCAACAATGTCGTGAGCGCCATAAGAGCATGATCCACTAGCTGTGCCTGGAGTCTTTTTGATTTTTCCGCAGCCTCTTTCCTCACCCGCGCAAAATTTTTTCCTCGCTGATTTTTAGCCCCTGAAAAACACCTCGTTCCTGACGGAGCTATTAAAAGTGCTCTAGTACTACAGTAAAAATCATGTAGTTGTCGGCATGGAGGCAGCAAGCTCAGAGCAGGTAGTGGCTGACGAGCATGAAGTAGATGTGGGTGTGGTTGAAGTAGGGGAAAGCGTGAAGACGAAGACGAAGATGATCGAAGAGATGTCAACAAGCTCCCTCTCGGCACCAGTGCTTTTTCCTTGAGAGGCGACCAAACTAGGCCGCGGAACTGTGGCCAAAGGGAGTTCATCTTTTTTTAGCAATGCGCACCCGCACGACCACAAGAACTACAAGGGTTTAATATAAGATAGCTGCCTAAGATCATTTATGAAAGCATTTCTTGTATCTATTGTTATTGTTATTGCATGTTATTCAATCACGGACTCTCTCCGTTATTAGACGAATACGAGTTCTCTCTGTGCGAATTTTGCGGACGCTAAAGATTCACCCGATTCGGAGCTCTCTACGCTTACTTTTTGTTTAAGCTCTCCTTTTATCTTCTTTTTTCCAGAGGAACACAACTGACTTATTTGCGGCGCGTTTTAGTGTCTCTAGCGCTTAGGGTACTGCTGATGTAGACAAGAACCCCCACCGTAGTGACAACATCGCCCACTCGCAGTTCGAGGTCTTCCAGTAGTACAACTACTAAAGAAGAACACTTTGAAATGATAGCAACCACTTACACTTTGCTCGCACGACTGTAGCACAACTACAACCCCCTCACATGTACAACTACCGCAGCATAGAGGTTTACAGATTGTAGCACAACTACAACCACCTCAAGTACCAGCATAGAGGTTTAGAGATCAACTATTTGTTCATCATCATCTTCCATCTCCCCGTCATCCGTAGGACTGCGATAGAAGGAGATGTCCACGTCTGCATCCCGCTTTCTCAGCACCTCGTTTTCCCACTCTTTCTCAATATCAAGGAGCAAACGTTGCGCCAGCTTTTTCTTCGCTGTCGATGTTGCTTCAGAAGATTAAAAAAGGGATCAATCATCCGATCATGGCGAAGAGGAACAAGAATTATATATTAAATATATTAGCATCTTATAGGACCGGACGGGGATAATCAAATCAGATAGTAGCTGAAACTGCAGAAAAGGTAGAACCATGCAGTAGATCAAAACGGTAGACATCGCTTCAGGGTAAAATACAACTAGAGTGCTACAAATTTTGGTAGAGATCGCTTCAGGGTAAAATAATACAACTAGTAGAGTACAACTAGAGGCACCATTCACCCAGAACCATCAATAAAGTCAAAACGCTACTTCTAGCTACTTGCTCCTTCATCAGACTGCTCCCATAAAACAAATCTTCCGCTCGATTTTCTCCCACTTTCTTGACCTCCGCGTGCCTCTGTGCTATCTCTTTTTCTACATCGACTAGAGCTTCTGGTGATAATTGAAAGTCCTCCAAATCGCGGTCCCAATCCTGTCTTGACTTCGATAGAGGAGATGATGGCGGAGACTGGATTGACGAATTTCTGCGTAGAGGACAAGAGGTTGAGGTCGTATTGGCTTTTTTCTTCTTAGCAGTGTTGCTGGTAGAGGTAGTAGAAGTAGCGTTCGCGGTGCCAGTAAGGGTGGATATTGACATTAAAGTTTTATCAGGTGGATTTTTCTTCTTTTCTTGAGTCCTCTGGAGGTCTCTACAACTTATTTGCTGCCTTCTTCTATCTGCACCGAGTTGTACAGGAGCGTTAACACCAAAGAGAAGGTGATCAAGCTCTTCCCACTGCCTTTTGATGGTCATCTCTGTCTCATCGAGATTACTTCCAAGGAACAGGGTTCCTTGGTTTGAGAATTTCGCTTTCAGGTCTTCCTTCTTGTTCTTCTCTACTTCTCGGATGTCGTTGTTGTTGATGTATTGGAGTGGAGTGCTTGCTCCACTTGTTGTACCAGCACCTAAAATCCGTTTTACAGGAACAATTGCTGGTGCAGCGCCAGCGGCTGGCGTACTTCTTGCTGAGGAGGACTGCGCAGTTTTTTCAGTTTGTCGCTCAGGCAATCCGAATCTTGGCACTGGGGAGTCGTCTGGTGCTGGCGCTTGACGAGGATCTCTGGTACTTCTAGTGCCTGTAGTTGTTTTGGTTCTTGATTTTTATTCGATAAACTGAAGTACCAGAGTAAAGTGATCTAAGAGAGCTACTAACTTAGAGAGCTAAGTAATGTAGTCTTAAACTTACTTCCATTAATTTTAAGTCTTCGAATAAGTATGTTCTTGTTCTTGTTACGATGCGAGAGGAGGGCCTAGGAAATTTTTAAAATGTCTATGAAGAACAAAATGTCTATCACGACAGTTACTAATTTACCGTCTCCCTTCCCAACTACAAGCTCGTCTTTCTGAAAGAAAGCCTCGCGCACCTGCTGTAATTCTCGTATCTTATCGAGCAAAGTAACGTCTGAGGTTGATGAACTTTTTGGTATTTTCCTCACAGCGGAAGAACCAGCTAACTTGGGGCTTTTCTGTGCGCCCCGACTAGGACTACTCGGTGTGCTACTAGTACTAGTCGGGTCCTGTTTACTCATCGCTAATATTCGAGAAGGAGGCAGTGCATTTGTCGCTCTCGCTTCTAAGATGATCCGTGAAGATGAAGAAGACGCAAGCGCCTCTTTGATTGGTGAATCTTCACTCGACAGACCTAGACCTACAACAGGCTTTGCTGGTGGTCCTGATTCATACAACTTCGCTGGTTTTGTTCTTGATGAAGTTAAAGACGATGATGCTGGCATGCTGGGCTCGACCGCTATGACTGGCGCAATGCTGCTACTCGTCGCAGTCGCTGCAACTCCGCCATCTGGCGGCAAGGAGACTGCAGATGATGTAGAAGTACTGAATGTTGGACTTCGAGACAGGAGTCTTTTCTTCGTCGCTTTTGCTGCCGCTGCCACAGGATCAGGAAGAACATTAGCACTGGTACTATTCGCACTAATTGTACTACTAGCACTAGCAGTTTGATCAGGAACCCTTGCGATTGGACTTAGCTCATCCAGCAAAATGATACTCGCTTCTAATTCGGCGGCTGAGATAGCATTAGCATTAGCTCCACCTCCAGATGGTGGAGGGGACGATGTCTTTTTTGGTGGAGACTGTTCCCGTACTTCTTTCGTCGGCAAGGACAGTGCAAGCGGTTCTGGTGGTTGTCCACTTGCCGTTTCCTTCTTGACGTTTCGGTCACTCGTCTGCTCCAAAGTCTTCCTCTTTGTAGTTGCGTCGTCACCAGCATCAACTGCCTCGTGTCCTCGAATCTCCATCATCCGTCTTCGATTCAGGTCCATGTACACAGCGTGGACCACATTCCTCCAAAAGCTGCGGAATTGAGACCATGACAAAGATGTTGAGCTTGAGCTTGTCTTTTCCGGAAAAGTATTCACGAGCTCCTCTGTGGTCAGATGTGGATCTCTCGCAGCAGCCTCAAATGTAGGCCTCAGAACTCTGCGGATAGACTCTAGATGACAGGAGATGACGTCTTCTATTGGGGCAATCACTTGTTGTTCTTGGATCATGGAGTTCTTGCTGGAGGAAGATGATAGTAGCATGGTGCAACAACTCTGCAAAACATCGCTGAAGAACTTCCTAAGTACTGAGACGATTGAAGTAGCACAAGCCCCTTGTTGGTGTTCCTCGATACTCGGCTGTCGTAGTGATATGCCGTTTCCGAAAGAGGAGAAGAGGCTGTGACCAACCGTGAGAGCCTTTTTCTCGTCCGTCAGAAGTGCGTGCAAAGCGGAGAGAAATTTGTCCACGACTTGATTGTCGATCGGAGGCTTTGCGTCTACTGCTCTTTTTAAAGGTGAGGAGGAGGAAGATGAAGAAGGTGACCCTCCTCTTCCATCCACAACTCTATCAGGTTTTGATGTTGTACCTCTACTAGGGGACGGAGTAGCTCCTCCTCCTGGTGGATTCACAGCCTGATCATCATTTTTTGCATCTACTTCTTGTTCTTGTTTCGCCACTGCTGGAATTTTGAGTCGGAACCCCTCTCCCAAATACGCTCTCCCCCTTTCTTCCAGCGTTTTCCTCAAAGCTTCGACCTTTCGCGCATGTGCTGCCTCTAGCGTCGCAACTTTCTTCCCCAGATCGTGATCAATCTCGCTACTCCTAACGCTCTTTCGTTGCAAAGCACCGTCTCGCAGTTCCTGTGTCGTCTTCTTCAACCAGGAATCCAACGACGCAATCGATCCCCGCAGCCATTCATCCACGTTGTTTATCCCTGAGTCCCTCTGTCGTGCAGCAGACTCTTCGTCAGGCAGAAAAACGAAGGAGGTTGATGATGAAGCGGGTGCTGAAGGTGCTGCAGAGGACATGCTTTTAGCGGTTCCTGAACGGGTGGCCAACAAGACACAAGCTCCTGGAGAACGTATTTTCAACATTTATAAATATATAAACTCTTCAATTTGTTCCGCCCGAGTCAAACAAATCGAAATTATGAACAAAGCAATCGCGTGTTTCTCAAAACTTAGTGTACAAAGCAATCGCGTGGGCGTACAAGAACAAGAACTCCAAGAACTTAGTGTTAAAACTAACTTTTTTCCTAAGAAGTTTTGGTTTGATCATGATCTTAGAAGCAGTCAACAGTGGTGGGTTCTTTGCAATCATGATCATGCTCATTTTCTTGCCTCCGTTGACGTTGTAAAGAAGTCCCTTTTTCTTGATGTCGCTCCTGCTCTCGTCATTGTACACTTTGCTGAGCGATTACCAGGTGGTGCATTTGTCAACATGGTAAGCGATTACGAGGTTCTGAAGAGTACGTGCGTTTTTTATGCTGGCTGCCTGACGTTGAGTCTCTTGATGTTCAACGTTTTTTCGCAGACCTTCTAGTTCATTTTGTATTTACTTTGAAGACTAAAAGAACAAGTACTATTATAACTTTGCAATGAATGCATCAAGTGCAACTGTCGTGATCTACGTTACTACTCGAACAAGACTAAAAGAAGTACTTTGTTGTTCTTTTTGCATTTGATTAAGAGGACACTAAGTGTACACGACTTTCTTCGACGAGAGACATTTCACTTGGATTGATTGCAGTACTTAGTTGTTCATCTACTTCTTGTGGCTTCAAATTTTTCATGACATGATAGAGTAGCAAGCACGAATGCAATTGTGAAACTCCCTCTTCAAATCCCACACCTCTGAAGAAATTCCGCTTCTACAGTGCCCCCCACATCCGGTTGGCCTTCCAGTGTAGTCTTCATTTTTGCTTCCACGATGTTGTCACCTACGCCCCCTTCCACCATACCACGACCCAAGAGAAAGTCGTGTTCAATTTTCGCATTCTCCACTGACGCCTCCTCCATCGAGTTGTCTTCATCACTAGAAGATGTTTGTTTTTTAATACCGGTCTTCAGGTTCAAGAAAGCAAGAGCTTCTCTAGATTCGTCTCCGGGTGAGTCCGCATGTAACGTTTTCTCCTTCTTCAAGCTCTTGATGTCTGTATAAGCGTCTAACACGTCGTCCAAATCTTTATCTGCATGCCGTTTGAACGCAAGAGAAAACGACAAATCCCTAGACGCTGGCGATGCCTCCATCCGCACATCATGCAGGACCTCATCTGCTTTAGGATTATATTAGAACTAAGAGAAATCCATCTTCAGTAACATCTTGGGTCTCCTTTTCTCTTTAAAAACGGGACCAGGATGACGGTGAAGATGGATTTCTTGTAGCCTTAATTATAGCGGACTCCTCTATTCTGTGCTATGCCCAATAGAGGATCCCCTGTGGGAAGTGGAAGTTGGAAACGGGTACGAGGTTGCTGTTGCTGGTGAAGATGAGCATTGCTTTCATCTCCTTTCTTCTTCTCTACTCGTGCATTTCTAGAAGGAGCCTTCTTGCCGATATTTTCAGAACTACAACCAGCATTCTTGTTCATTTTAGATGGAGATCTGCGCGAAGGGCACTGAGACGTCGCTGGTGGCGTTTTACTTGCCGATCTTCTAGGTCGTGGTTGAACGGCAGTAATAGCAGTTCCAGAAGACGTTAATTTTGGAGCTGCCTGGTGCGTTTTCAGCTGATGATCTTTAGTTTTTGCTTTGCTAGAGGTTGGTCTTTCTAGTTGGCCAGCAGAACCACGTCCAGCGGCTATATCACTAGATGAAGTCTTACTGCGTTGAGGACTGGCAAGAGCGGCAAGCCTCTTGTTTTCAATCACCTCCGCAACTGGCGAAAGCGACCTAGGAGGTGGCGATTCCCCAACTCCCATCGTCGTCCTGCCTTTCATCCATTTCTGTTGTAATCGTGCTCCCGTCTCCATACCCCTCTCACGGATCTGCGAAAAGTGCCGCTCGAGTCTATTCGCAGTCTCAACAGCTGGGAAACGTTCTAGAGCGACACACGGAACGTCTCCGTTGCGACCGTACCCACCAAAAGGATCGTCTTGGTTGACATTGCGCCAACGAGCTCCTGCTTCAGTATGCAACGCCTGCTTACGCTGTTGCTTGTGTTGTTGCCACAGTGCTGCTTTGTCTCTAGTAAGAGCTTGTTCTGCCTCAACGGTTATCAAGACAGCTTCACAGAGACCCTCAAGTGCTTCAGTTTCGGTAGGGGCGTCGACTTGCTCGTCTTCTTCCTCTTCACCAGGGTCAGCGTTTCCAACACTCACAGCAGCAGTGCTAGGATCATGATCTTCTTTTTTCAACTCTTCTACTTGAAGAGCTCCCTCAAGATTATTGTCCTCTTGTTGTGCAGGAACATTCTCCTTCGGAGGTTTTGTCGCAGGACGTTGCGTTGCAAGGACCGACCACGGATCTCCACGGGAGTATTTCGACATAGGAACGAGAGGTTGACTATCCCACTCAGGCCGACTCCTAAGATTCGCAGGAACTTTTTTCAGATCAACAACGCCTGTTAATCTAAAACGCTCATCGATCATACTGCGTTTCTTACTTGTTTGGGATTGAGAGCCATGTTGTGAAGGCTTGTAGTTGCTCTTGTTCTGCAACTGAGAGGCAGAAGTAGGAGGATCTTGACTTGTAGCACGTGGTGATGCATGACGTCCATTTGATGCTGCGGAATCTTCTACTACGGAAAGGGAAACCTCCTGGAGCTGATGATCATGTACATGTAGTGCATTGTTCATACTACTATTCGTATTCACTACATCTACGACATTTGAATTCCAGTCTTGTAGGGGCTTCCAAGCTCGTCGCGGCGATAGTGCAAACTCTAGCGTTTTGGATACACAGAGGTCGAGCCGACTCAGTAAGGCGTCAGCTTTTTGCATACTTGTGTGGGTTGAAGATGATGAAGATGTTGCTGCTTGTAAGGAGGCACTCACATTCCCTTTTCGATGCGGTTGTTTGGTCATTGCGCAGGCGCTTTGCGGACGCTTGTGCGTCGTGGCGCTCGAGGTCGCCTGTGAGGATAGGTGGGAAGATGCATGAGGGTCCAGGTTGGTAGCAAGAGCAACATCGACATCACCCATGACTAAAATATTGAAATAAAGCAAGAGCAAGACCATCGATAATATGCAATGAAGAAGTCAATACCGCGTGCTTAGCTCCAGCCCCATCGTGCTTGCCTCCACCACCACGCGCAGCATGTCCGCCTCCAGCATATTCTGTTCGAGTCATTGCCGACATTGGCCTTGTCTTCTTGCCATGACCCGCCTCAGTGGCAGCAGTTCCATGCGAGCCTGTCCCAGAACCAGCACCACGACCTCGTGGCAATACTGCCGCAATCCGTGTCTTGTTCATTTTCCGTCTCGTTGGAGATACACGATTCTGGGAAGTAGACTGGGCAATGTTTATCTTCACTGTCCTCCCAAAAGCTACTTGGTGTGCACCACGCAAAGCTGCTTTTTCCATCATTTTCTGGGAACGCTCATGCTCTTGCAATCTTTGAACCAACGTTTTGAGTCCGCTAAGCTCTCGCTGGAGGTCTTGGTGCTCCTGCTCTTGGTCTTGAGTTCTCATAGTAGCTGTAGCTTCTACTTCTTGAAGACCTTCTTCTTCTTCTTCCTGTTGTTGTTCTGCTAGCCTAGCTTGCATGTCCTTCATGAGCAATTTTGCCTCCTCTAGTACGCCATCGAGTTGCTGTCGTGTTCCTTGATCTAGATCTGCTAGATTGCCTAAACCAGCACAACGCGCGATTAGCGCAGCAACGTGACCAGTGGAGTCTAAGCAGGGTTCGCCCTGTTCTTCTTCCTCTTGTTAGAGCTCTCCCAAATTCATCCCTGCTGCGGAAATCCCTCAAGCATATGCGCCAGTATCTCCCTTGTATTGGGAAGCATATGTTTGAGGGATCGATGTCTACAGGGATGGATTAGGGGAAGCCTTAATCTTGGTCATCATGCTGTGCCTGTAGCTCGTCCTCGTTATCTGGTTCTTGTTGTCCTTCAGCCTCGGAATCTGATGACGGTACTTCTTCGTTCTCCTTCTCAGGACTTTTCCGATCTTCCGCAGCTACAACGCCAACCTTTTCTAGTCCGTCATTTTCTTTTTGCTGCGCAGCACGAGGCTCTCGTCCTTCTTTCGATCTTCGTTCGCGACTTATTTTAACCTCTTGCACAGCAGACGCAGGCGGCACAATTTTTTCTTCTTCTTCAACCCCGTCCTCATTACTTCCACTTGGTCGAGCAGCGACTGCAGCTTGTGCCTGTTGAACTGACGAATCAGCAGCTGTTTGTTGATCTTCTGGCTCAATCTCGTCGGGTTGAACTGACGAATCAGCAGCTGCTTGTTGATCTTCTGGCTCAATCTCGTCGGGGTGAACTGACGAGTCAGCAGCTGCTTGTTGATCTTCTGGCTCAATCTCGTCGGGTTGAACTGACGAGTCAGCAGCTGCTTGTTGATCTTCTGGCTCAATCTCGTCGATAGGATCCCCACGTGGAGCAAGAACTGCCGTCTCCTCCCGTTCTTCGGGAAGTACAAGAGGCTTCGAATCATCAGCACCCAACGTCGAGCTTTCTACTTCATGCAGATCTGTTACGCTTACACCTCCATCCTTTCGAAAGGTATCCTCCAGTACCACTGCATCATCTACACCTCCTTTCGTTCCTGAGTGATCCTGCATTCCCATTCTCTGTGATGTTTCGTCAGTCTCTCCTGTTGAGGCCGCAAGGCGACTCTGGAGCACAAATACCTCTGAATCTAGGAGCGAATCGACCATGGTTTTACCTAGCCGTTCCCCATCGGAAGATGCCGATGAAGAGCTGTCTTCTACAAGTCTTGATCTATCTTCTGCTGCTGGTGGAGAGGCAGTTTTACCATCGTCCTCTACATGAGCGGACTCAACTTCTACATGAGGAGACTCAACTACATGAGCAGACTCAACTACTGCTTCCCCTTCTACTTCTTGAAGATTTTCGTCTACAAAAGCTGCTTGTTGATCATTGGGAGAGGAGTGCACTCCTGCGTCCTCAGGAGAGCAGTATGCCGGTGAATCCTCAGGCGACGACTGCATAGGCGCGGAGGCATGTTCTCCTGGAACAGTTCTTTGATGCAATCCAGCATGATAATCGATCTTTTGACTAGACCGTTCGACGTTTTCAACACGTCGAGGTCTATTTGAAGATACGGATGTTCTTGCCGACGAAGAACTATTGGAAGAGGTAGAACCTGAAAGACCCGAATGCTTCTCCCCATCAAGCCCATCCGCGACGCCTTTCACCAAGTCAGACAGGAAACTAGCGGAAGAAGACCTCGAATTCTCATAGTTGCGACGCCTTTTGCTAGAAGGGCAAGCGGAACTAGGTCTGGAACAGCTTCTTAGGTTCTTAGTGCATCCGTGGCGTGAACTAGGACGTGAAGAAGAAGATGCACTTCTATTCCCTTGACGACCTCCTTGATGTTCTGATTGTGATGCATCGCTTAATACACGACTTGCTCCTTTACTGCCACTACCACTTCTACTGTGCTCATCAGTCGCACTTCCTCCTTCTCCATTAAGGCCTCTCAACATCTTTCTAGAACTCTCTTCCTCCTCACCAGTCCTCGACAAAGGCGTGGCTGCGATAAAGGATTCACACATGGCAGATCTACTCCTACTAACACCACTAGCTTCTGCAGACGCGGAGGCGGAAGACGCAGACGCAGATTTTGATGTACCAGCATTATTTCTCTTTTTACTGGAGAACGACGAGGACGGATAGGACGACCCGTCAGCACCTAGAATCGTATCGCTAGGTGTCCCTATAGAGCAGTCCTCTATGGCAGAGCTCTCGATGTCCCTGTCGACACCAGAAGAAGCTGCATCTTCCATAGGTGAGGATGCACCGTAAGACGAAGAGGATGCGCCTAGCAGAGAGACCTCCTCACGTCCGTGATCCTCTTCGTGTTGACCTATTTTTGAAGACGATGGAGCAGAAGCTGATCTTGAATCTCCTGCGCCAAGTATTTCACTAGACCGTATTTCTGCACCAAGTATTTCACTCGATCGACACGCAGATGACGAGCCAGACGCCGATCCAGATGCAGATTGTGCTGAACTACTAGCTGCAGTAACATCAGCTGGTGAACTAGCAGACATTCTATGCTTGCCTTCCCACATCCACTGTTTACTAGGGACTAAAACGACTTCGTCCGGTAAGTGTGGTACTCGGTAGACACTCGTAATGTTTTTAAGCAACGCTTTCTCGAACTTGGGAATCACGACCAGGTCTTCTTGGGGTTCTCGGTCTCTGTGAGCTGTGAAGATAGCAGAACGCTTTTTCGACCCATTCTTTCTACTTTTCGAACCTCCAGCGCTGTTTTTGGAATCTCCCCTCTTGCCCTCTTGTTCCCCATGCTCATGTTGACTATGTCTATGACCCGCGGAAGCACTACTACTGCAACTGGCCGAATCTTCTTCTATCTGATTTTCGTCTTCCACACACGCCAGGAAAGCATCGATCGCTGACTCATCGCGATAGTATTTCAGGAGTCCTAGTTCTAACCCAGAAGCGTATTTCGGGTCTCCTGCATTCGCGCTTGCGAGAAACGCACTGCCGCGACCAAACACTTCGGAATAGCGAAAAACCTTGGAAACGGCAGCTGGTTGGCCTCCCTTAGTACTAGTTGCAGTTCTTGTGCGAGGTTGTCCGACAAGCACAAGTTCTACTTGGTCCATCGCATGTGGATCTTTTGAACTTTTTCGAGACTCCTGTTCTTCATCTTCAAGAGCACCCTGATTGCCGTGCTTCCCAGAGAGTGGAGGCGTCAGATCTTCTCCAAATGCAGGAGAAGGGCTCCTAGAAGTTCCAATCCCGCCTTGGCGACTTCTAGCTCCTACAGGACTTCTAGCACTAGTCGACAACGCCAACACCTTATACAACTCATTGTCAGGAGGCGCTAGTCTTTCCTTCTCCACCCTTTTTTCTAGTTTCTGTTTTCTCCTCTGTTCTTTATGATAGTCTTTCTGTGCGAGGGTGTTGGCAAAGCCGTAGTCGCTGGTTCCCGCTGTGAGGAATGTCGCGTCAGCTGAAAACGCAGATCGAAGATCCACCGGATAAGAGGTCGAAGCCTGTTTTTCACCAGCTTCTTCTGAATTATCTTCTGACTGGTGTTCGTCGGAACTACCATAGGGTGAAGGAGTTCCATCCCCTTCCCCACTACCTGCAGAGGACCTGCTTCGCCTTTTTTTCCTTCTCTTGGATGATCTTCGTGTGCGTCTATCTCTCGACAGTGACCCTTCGCCGTCTTCTCCTTCCATCTCCGTCTTTTCATGCTCTACTAGGTCCTCTAGTCCGTCCTGACCTGCACTAGCACATCTACTTCCCCCATCTGCTACTGCCTGTGCTGCAGAGGTCTTTCGCTTGGCCTTTTTCCACGACTTAGACTTCTTCTGCTTCTCTTCTTCATTTCGCTGGCCTTCCTCAGCTATTTTCGCTTCTAATCCTCGTATCCTGTCCTGTAGAGACTCTAGTCTAGACTTTTGCTCCCTTATAACTGAGCCATCTGCAATGGCAGTTTCCCATTCTTTTCGAATCTGCTGTTTCTCAGCACGACTCACGAAAGAACGAGGGTCTGGCTCATCTTGTAGGAGGTGCTCTTGATGTGGAGGACGAAGAGGAGGGATCCTGCCGTCATTGCCAGAAGCTCCCTCTTGACCTCCCAACACAACAGGCTGCTTTTTTGGTGAGTAGTAGAATTCTGCTAGTCTGCTCTGACCACCTGTTGTACGAGTCGATGACGCAACTGGCTGAAACATGTTGAAAATGTCTCGATGCAGTTCACGAGGACTTCCGAACTCCACAGGCGGCAGTCGAGCGGCACGCTGATGCTCCCCAACCATCCCATACTTGCGGACAGCGCTACTATCTCCTTCCACCGTGTTGACCACTGCACGTGCACCACCACCACCAGCACTACTAGCACCACGTCTCGTAATTGTACTAGGGTCAGCACTTCGCGGTCTACTAGTATTCGCCTTAACATTGGCAGGTGGCTGTTTTGTTGTAGTAGTTCCTCCTTTTTTACCCAGGACGGCAGCAGACCACTTCGCTTCAGCCTGACGCTTTTTGCCACACTCCCAGACAGCATGGTCGCAAGCAATGTCCCAGGCAGTGACGGGTTTCGTTATGTTGTGGGAAGGATCGCGGCAAACCATCGTGACTGACATCTATTTGGTAATCGTAGTGCCGTAAATTTTCTAAAAGCAAGTAGAGAATGAGTGAATGAATTGGGTAATATTAAAGGGAAAACTAGTGCAGGGACCATGTTCCGACTCTTTCCCAGGGTAGTTGATAGAAACAGGGGCGCGCAATCCAATCGCAGCGAAGCCCGACGAAACCAAAACAAGGACGGTAACAGTATTCCCCGAGAAGACCATGACGCAAACCCAACAGAGATGGATACGGAAAACCGACTTCTGCAGAAGGAACTACAGCTATGCCAACACACGACCGAAAGTAACATCCTTACCACCGATCGACAAAAACGATCAAGCAAACCCAAAGTCGTGATTACCCAAAGGCAGTTTCTCGACCGATCGCGCAAACCCAAAGTCGTGATTTTTACCCAAACTATTGCCACGGTCCGCCGTGCCGGGTTCAGGTAAATACTTACTCTCACTTTCTTACTCATTGGAATATGCAATAGCTCTACATGCATTAACTACGCCCTGATGTTCATTCTGCTCTTCTTCATCATCATGCATTAACTATTCAATTCGCTGCGATTGCTTCTAGTTGCTTGTTTTAGTGCTGGTTGTACTATATTACGGCGTGATGCGTGTAGTATGGTGCCACTTCTTCCTTGAGCGAATCTGAGTGCTGTTATTCTGGATGTATATGCCACTGACTATTTTTTCAATGTTCTTGGATACATAGAGTAAAAGTCGTCAACAGAAGATGAGCATGAGTTTGAGTAGCTTGCTCATTATAAGCAGTTCTTTAAATGACAAGAAGAAGCTCTAAGCTAATATCATGAACAAAGAATGTAACTTTTTTTACTAATGCATATACTGCTTCCTGGTCTTCGTTTCGTTCCTGGAAATAATCAGTTCTCAAAGATTTCTTTGTTACCTACTAGGTAGCGAAGCTCAGATGCAAAGGTATTCTTGGCAAATTTAATGTGACTAAGAGTCGAGGAGTGCTGTACTTACTAATACTATTCTCAAAAAATCGATTATATGACATTAAACGACAGCATTATGCAAGATATACTAGTCGTGCTGGTGCATAATGTCCTGTCATGGACCCTCTTTCATGTGTCCTACTGACACCACCGAGGCCTTTCAGCTATCAACAGTACAACATGTTGACAACAGAACAACCAAGTGCTTACAACAAAGTCCCTTATGCCGCAGCTCCACCCAGTCTCGCCAGCCTCCTTTGCTCATCAAGCTGCGCTTGAACGGCAAATTCCTTGGCCCATTCCCCCTTCGGTCGATAGTCGCGGAAACGATAATCCAACCAACTAGATGGCTCAGGCGTCTCGCGATTGGACGTGGATGGGAGATTAGAAGGGGCTCTGATTCTGATTCACCTACTAACTACTCGAAGGACTCAAGTAGTGGAGCAAACTCCTCTGTTGATAGTTTCAGCGAATTTTGAGTCTTGCGAGATGGAAATCGGCTTCCCAGCAGGGTTGATGTTGCAACCTTGCCTAGTAAGTAGTCTAGGACTGCGTGCTGTTGTCCCTGTTTCCGTGTTGACCGTAGAGACGTGGTCTGACAGTATTTCTATGATCTAGAAGCAGGAGGACTACACCTCGTCTCTATTCAAAAATACTCATTATGCACGACAACCACAAATAAACCGAACATGATCTAGTTCTAGCTGAAAATTGTTCATAAATTCTTTATTCCCTTCTTGCTTCGCCTTCTCTTGCGCTTGCCTTCTTGCGGACATGGTCCGAGGCCTCCTCTCCTGGACTGTATCGAACTTGATATGCAAACCCGTTTCTCGCTTGCGTAACTGTAGGTGGGAAATGTTGGAGAAAGGTGCAATGTCAGCAACGTTATCTTATAATTTTTTTAGATTTAGTCAATGAATGCTGTCCGTGTCGCGTTTCTAGGTAGAAAAAGTTGGCAAAAACGATCTATATCTAAGAGGAGATGATGAAAAGAAACCAAATAACAGCACGCTCTACTTGCTCTTGCGGTAACGATATAAGGTGCAATGTCAGCAACGGGATGGCAAAAACAATCTATATCTAAGAAACCAAATATATATCTATCTGATATAACAATCTATATCTTCTGATATAACTTCTCTACTGAAGCTGCAAGTACCTCAATAAAGTCCTTCCAAATGCTTTTCAGAGGTTCCTTCATGTGCTTCATTCGCAAGGTGTAAGCCGCATCAGACGCGTTGTTCTTTATTTTCTGTGACATCATCAAATCGATGAGTCTCTGTTTGTCGTCTTCTCGTATCTTGTCTCCTTGAAAGACATATCCCTTCACCTTTGGGAAGAGCTGGGCCATTCGTCTATGTGAATTTCGGATCTCCGTTGTGGTCATGCGGACTGTGGATTGTTCAGAGAGTGTTGTGGGACGCGGTGCTGGGAGAAGGTCGTGATGAAATCTTGTGGTGGTGAATTATCGTAAATCATTGTCTTTTTTGCTTTCACAATTTTCGAGACACGTATGTAAGTATCCCTGTGGTCGCGGTTTAACAGAACAACCTCTACCATCTAAGACCACACTATAGCAGCAACTTATAACATCAATTGCAGTTTCATCGACAGGAATTGCACAATCTGGTACCATCCTGTCCAATCTGCTTTGGCAACAGACCACCCTTCTTATCCATTTCGCTCAAAGTGCGCGTGCGACCTTGGGCTTTAACGCGTAGTCTCTGCATATTGACTAGGGACCTCTGTTTCACCCTGTTCCCCCACTGTGTGCATTCCAGTCGGTGATGAAATAACTCGTCTTGATCATAGTGTGCTTTCTTCTCCCGGAACATACGGGCACCGTACTCGAGGCTTGGTTGTTCAGTTAATTGAAGAATACATAAGAACTTGGTTGTTGACAGAAGAATACATAGGACGTGAACTTGGTTGTTGATAGAAGAATACATAAGAAGCAAGTAGACCACAAGAATTACTATTGATTAGGACTAGTAAAAACTAGTGAAGAATACATATAAGAAGTGAAGTTCTCCTAGAAGTCGTCGTTACACTAAAAGTAAGTGTAGTAATTGAAAACTACAACAGACATGATAAGGATAGCATAAGAATGACGTGAAGTTCTCCTAGAAGTCGTCGTTACACTAAAAGTAACAAGTGTAGTAACTGAAAACTACAACAGACATGACGATCAAACAGTTGAGCTAGAAAAAGTACGCTTCCCTCTGTTCCCTCATGTAATTGGGGGATTGATATCTGGGCCTCAGCGACTCGTTCAAATCAGCGAAATCTTGAAACGGGTTCATCGTGTAAAATTCCTCAGTAGTATAACGATCGCTGCGCTTCCTCAATGGATGCCGCTCGAGGGATTTCTGGACGTTGCACTTCTCTGCGGTTAGTCCGGATTCAGGCTGTGCTGCTACGGTGAGGCGAGATATGAAAGCAAAAGGAGGATCTTGGGTAATTTGAATAACAGTAGAAGCGTTTTATTTTTATCCAGCAGAAAAATGAATATGTCTAGTCTAAAGTCCCTCGAAGTAGGATCATTACCACACTTAAAAACGGCCCGGCATCTTCTAGAGAGAGCACCATTAACCTTTGATGAATTCGCCATGATATCCGTCTAAGATCTATAGTGCCTTATTTTCCGAACAAAATAAAAATCGAGGCCCTTGGTCTAAAACTGATATCGTGATCATCAACAACGCTTCTTGATGAATTCTCACTATCATGATCATCAGGTAGTCCATCTTCATCATAATAGTTGCAGTAATCGGCTGCAAAGGAGCGACTCCGGCAAGCTGACGGCGAAGTTCAGTCTGCGACGTAATCCCCTGAAGTGCTTTCTTCAACTCCGGATCAGCCTTTCTCATCTCTGACCAAGGACCTTCTGGCACGCAGTCAACCTAGAGAAGTGTCCTCCAAGTATGTAGTTGTAGTCTTAGTGAGTGCATTTTATCATAGCATTTTTTGTCGAGAATCAAAACTAGAGAGAAAGTATGCTTCCAAAACTAAGAAAGTTGTATGCCTATTTCATAGTAGCACCATGCTTTCTTCTAATAAACAGCACCTGCGCAATCATCGCCATCTCCAGACCGGTGAGATCATAGCCTCGCATCACTTCTGGTCTAGAAGCTGGGATTTTAGACCGTAGGTCGTCGAACATGAGCTCTCCCGTTGCTACTTGGACTTCATGTTTCCCGATTTTTCTTCCAAATCTCGATTCAGGTGGCATGTCGAAAGCGCCAGGATGAGAGGCGGATCCTGGACGATAATATTTGATCATGTGTGGAGGAAGTTCCTTGATGAGAAACACTCGACGATTCCTGATGTTTCAAGGTTCAAGAACTAGTTGTAAGCTTTGTTTCAGGGTTCAAGGTTTGAGGTCCGCGGCTCTACGGCCAAGCCCCGCGCCGTCCGGGACGAAACAGGCTCGAGTAGAGCCAGACGTGTTGAAGATGCTACAAGAAAATTAACAGATGAAAGTCAGTACTCGGAGACGGTCTTCGCCATGGGCCTTCCGAGATCGACTTTCCAACGCGGCTATTGACCAACTCGGTAGTGTACGCAATCAAATTATGGTCTTCGGGAAGCAAGGTTTTGGCTACGTGTAAAGCCTGTTCGCGATAGAATTGTCGGAGATCAATGGTGCCAGCTATGCCCAGACACAGAGGCGCCTCCTCTGACAAAGCTTCCAGCACGAAAATCTTCAACGAAACTCCAGAATTGTACCTGAATGGGTGTTGAGAAGAGATTAGTACACAGTTGTACATCTCTTCTTGAAGATAGTAAACCAAAACATGGAATGATTTCATTCTCAGCAATCCCAATCAACAGTTACTTCTAGTGTGAAGACAAAGAAACTACTGCTCATCCACTGCTAGCTTGCCAAGAAGATAAAGTAGACCTCTCGAATATTAGACAGAAAGTACAATGCATTCAATCGATCTCCGGGAATCTGCGTCTGGCAGAATTCCAAGATGTCGTCGGCACAAGCCAATCCCTTCATCAACTCCTCTTTGCTTTCTTCATGGGCCTCCAAATCACTCAGCACCGCAGCTGCATTCATCCGCAGGACTCCCTCTATGTGTTTACCTGCGGCGAAAGGAAGCGTCAGTCGCTCTGACTGTGCGATCGATAGCTGGTGGGGTGGGATGGGGGGTTCTACAACTATGGAGGTATCTCCTGCTGGAGGTGGTAGTGACCCTGCAGGAGGCTGATCCTGTTTGTTGCTTTCTTCCACTTTCGCCGGTGATTCTTGCGCATCTTTGTTCTTGGCAGGAGAAGATTCATCGTCAACAGGTGACGCTACTGGCGGCAGCACTTCATTCCCTCCCACGACCGGGTCAGAGCCTCCACCAGATCCAGCTGCCTCTGCACTCAGATTAAGATTCATCTGTAAACCACCTTCTGCTGGAAACAAAGTTGCTGGCGACATCATTTGACGCGTAGGTGAAGTCCCTCCAGTCGCAGCTCCTGGCCCAGTACTAGACACTGTCGACAATATTTCCCGTACTGACATCCGCACAGGAGTAGTCACCAGGGTTGCACCTTGAATACTACTACCAGGACCTGCGTAGACACTAGTCGTTGTTCCAACTATGATGCTGTCGTTAGGCGAGATACCTGGTCCGCCACTCGCAGCAGCTGGAGTGGCAGCTCTACTATAATTTGTAGAGGTCTTGTTCTTGATGTTCCTGTTAGGTCTTATCGGAGCAGAATGACCTCCACTAGTCGGTAACATCGGACGACTATTCGGATTTGGCGGAAAGAAGGGTGCTGGGGTTGCTTGATTTTCATAGTGGATCAGCATCCTAGAGGGAATCTCTTGCGGCAAGCCACGAAACGGTGGTAATGGATTCTCCACTAGAGGATTCGGAGGATGCTGATGGCGCCCTTGAGAAAATGTTAGAGATGAAGGAATATGACTTCTAACTAAGGACTTAAACTGGAAATAAGATAGAAGGCAAGTAGACCACACGACTATGCAATGTCGTGAAGATGCTGATGTTTTTACACTCAAAAAGAAGGAGCAGAAATAAAAATAGTGGCCATAACTGTCCGGCATTCTTCTGCTGATACTCATATAGCATCTCTGCTCCAGACTGATTCTTTGCTGCAGTACTAGAAGAGGCAGAAGTTGTGTGTCCTGCTGGTGTCGTCATTGGTCGCTCCCTCGCATCTGCTTTTTGTTGATGTTCTGAATAAAATTAGAGGTATCCGGAATTCATCTCAGGGATCATCTGGGTCCTTTTTTCCTCTTGTCTTTGGACTCCCTTCTCCAGGTGACTGTGGAGATGAATTCCCGACGCCCATAATAAAAGCTAAATGGCGACGACGGCATACAAACCGCGCCACGTCTTGCTGTTGAGCGAGATGTTGAAGAAGTGCTTGCTGTGGCTCCTCCTGGTGCGGATTCCGTTCTTGGCTCAACTGCAGCTCCTTCTGGTACCATTGGCTCCGAGCTAGGTGGATCTTTTACTCCACCAAACTGCTGCTGTACAAGTGGAGGTGGCATAGGAAATTCTTCACCCTTGTTAGGTGGCATAGGAAATTCTTCACCCTCTAGGTGCTCTTGTTCTAAAGCTGCGCCTGCAGATGTGCTAATGTTTAAACTTGGTTGTGCTGTCCCAGAACCTCCAAAATACTGCTTAGCATACGCATTGAAGTAATCATCAGCCTCGTCCAAAGCTAGGTGAAGATAGCGCAAGGCCGTCTCAGGTCGGGATAATCGACGCCAATGTAAGGCTAGCAATGACCACTGCCGTGCAGAACCACGCAGAGCGTCTAAAGTATTGATCTGATTAGTGGAGGAACTGGCAGATTTTTGGAGCAGCTGAGCACGGTCTCCTCTCGAGTATGTAGGTGGTAACGACCCAGTAGCCAAGGCTTCCCGTCTTTTATGCGGTGACAACAACGCAGCAGCTGTGGACACACGCCTTCTATGAGCTACAGAGCTCTGTCGGCTCAATGGTGGAGGAGAGGTTGAGCACCCTCGGCGTCGAAGACTACTTGTTTGCATAGCGATCGGAGCAGATGCAGGTGGACCAGTCGAGAAACCGCCTCCTGGGGCCGACATTGGCGGCGGACCACGCGGCGCTTGGGGTGCGCCTGTTGGGACTGACATGATCTTGTTGTAGTTCGCAGCAGAGATGTGGCTCCGATAGGTTTGTCCTTTGCCTTTCTCTGCCACCACCCTTGCTCTTCTTGTGGACACCTCTGGTGTGGGTGGTCGACCCTAGTTTTTTCATTGAGAAATGCTCTATTTAAATACTATTAAAAATCCCCGAACACTCTTCGCCTTTAATGTGAACACTAAAGGACCAATAAGACGCCTTTAATGTGAATGCTAAAGGAATCCCCTCCCCTTTAATGTGAACACTAAAGGACCCTTAAGGCGGCTTTAATGTAAACACTAAAGGACCCCTAAGGCGCCTTTAATGTAAACACTAAAGGACCCCTAAGGCACCTTTAAAGTAAACACTGAAGGCCTTCCATGTGAGCAGCAGATGGCCTTGAGGAAGAACAAGAACAGCAACAACAGCAAGAACAACAAGGACAAGAACAACAAGAATAGCAAGAACAGCAAGAACAGCAAGAACAACAAGAACAACAACAGCAAGAACAACAAGAACAACAACAGCAAGAACAACAACAGCAAGAACAAGAAGAACAACAGCAGCAAGAACTGAACAACAACAACAACAACAAGGACAACAACAAGGACAGCAACAACAGCAGCAACAACAGCAGCAACAACAAGAGCAACAACAAGAGCAACAACAAGAGCAACAACAA